ATTCAAAACATTTGACGTCACAATTAAAGAGTGATTGTTGCCTGACGTCAAAAGGTGATTGGAGTAGATCTAAGGTCATTCGGAGGCAAAATATAGCTAAATACCAAAAGTGTAAATACGTTTATGGGACGGGTATATATATACACCAATCTCGAGTTGTTTTATATTAATGAGTAACCCTGTTTGACGGGAGATCAATCGGCATGAACGATGTCATCAGACCACCTGTTCTTACTTTACATGCTTGAGCATTGCCATTGTGACAGGAAATTAATGGGAGAGTGCAGGAATTCGAAAGTCGTGTTATATACATTTATTACCTGGAGATATAAAGGTAGTCTAACTTGTTGAGTTAAGGAAGATCTTCTTTGGTTCAATTGGTTAGAGCGCTGCCTTTTGATCCCAAGATTGAGGGTTCGAATCCCACAGGTACCATCCATGGATTTTCACAATATTGGACTTATTGGTGCTGCGAGCATCTACTACTGGCACATACTGGTGTTTGTGAGTACCTGGCAGTTAATTTCATTGACTCATCAGGTATGACCAGCAGGTTATTTGAGGATGATAGACATCATGGAACTGGCCAGAGGGTTTCCAAGTGAAAGACTCTGGGGATGTCTGGTAGTTGACCTCTAAGCTGCGCGGATAGATGATATGCGGTGCGAAAAATGAAAAGAGGGAAGAGTGTTGTATACCTGGAGATATAAAGGTAGTCTAACTGGTTGAGTTAGGGAAGATCTTCTTTGGCTAAATTAGTTAGAGCGCTGCCTTTACATCCTGAGATTGAGGGTTTGAATCCTGCTGGTACCATCATGGATTTTCACAATAGTCGTCTATAATCCATGGGTATTATACCCCAAAACAGTAAACAATTTTCAGTAATATGATATAATATTTGGATTTCAAGATATTTTCTGACTTGGCCCTAGCCTACATTCGGGTGAATGACAACATATTGCCTACAGACACCATGACTAAAATCTGAATAAAAGTTAATGGCCTTGAATAAGTTGTATTTTTGGAGGCCATTAATCTTTGTATTCAGTTTTCATTTGAACTATGGTCTTTTATTAACATGATTAAAGTGAAAAATGTTGCCATTTATATGAATATTTGCGCCATGACAGCCATTATAATGAAATACTATTTTTTTTTCCTCTGCAAATTGATAAATGATTTTGGGTATAATTAATACCCATAAATGGGGATACATGTAGGAGGCCCCTCATGGGGGTGTCCAAGTAATCACATCATCACATAATCACAAATGTTTTGCCAATATAATCACATAATCATTAATTATTTTTTTAAACAAGATAATAAAATACAGGGCCTAATCTAGGATTTTGAAGAGGGAGAAGTGACTTCTCCTTCCAAGAGAGAGAAGGGAGAAGTGGTCAATTTCTTGGAGAAGTGAGATTCCATTACCGTTTCGGTTGCATCGTGTTTTCATGCTTATCACTAAGGAAATTGTTTTATATTCAATAAAAGATATACTTGCAGTTTTTTCATATGTTATTGTACACAATTTATATATAGAAAGTTCTTAATAAAAAGGTTTAGACAATATATAGTTGTTATTTATTTATTGATACCATTGTGTTCTAAATAAAATTTGTTGATTGGGACATGAGGGAGTAGCCTAGTAATATTATCATGATTATGATGCATTAAATTCATGTGCATCTGCCTCAATTTATTTTTAAAAGTCCAGAAAAAATATAACTCCCAGTTTTCCTGTTGAATTTCACATGACTGGGAATTTGATTTATATCACCACTTGTAATTATTTTGTAAAACATTATTGAATGTCCAGGACATTATGTTAGTTGTAAATTGAGATTGTCGTTAAAGATTGTAAGTCTATAAATGAAAATATTTTTCAATCGCATATTAATTATCCGACAAAGAGCTATTTTTTTAAAAATATCATCCATATCAACGAAATGGTCGTGAGAAACAATCCACTGCTGATCACAACCTGGTCGAGTGTCGTACGTTTGCCATCACATTATCCATCAGCAGTCTTTCTACCTTTTATATTTCAATTTTTATTCAATCAATATAATAAATCTACCGTTAATTCCAACCTTTTACCTACCTAATAGTAAAATTAATCGACTCGTGTAAGTTGTAAAAATAAAACAAATCAGCTGAGTGATTACGCAACATCCTCAGATGAAAATTATTTGCATCACTTGGCGTCCGTCGTCGTCGTCGTTAACTTTTTACATTTTGAACTTCTTCTAGAGAACCGCTGAATGGAATGAAACCAAACATGGCATGAATGTTCCTTATGAGGTGCTGACCAAGTGTTGTTACTTTGAAGACGATCCATCATCCAAGATGGCCACCAGCTGGTGACAGTGTTTAACAAAGGACCCTATGGACAATACATACAAATGTCTTCTTTTAGAGAACCACTGAATGGATTGAAACCAAACATGGCATGAAATGTTCCTTATGAGGTGCTGACTAAGTGTTGTTACTTTGAAGCTGATCTTTCATCCACGATGGCCGCCAGCGGGGGGACTTCCTTTAACATAAGACCCTATTGGAAATACATACAAATGCTTCTTCTAGAGGTGCACTGAATGGAATGAAACCAAACATGACATAAATGTTTCTTATGAGGTGCTGATGAAGTGTTGCTACTTTGTTGCTGATTTACTGTTCAAGATGGCCACCAGGAATTTTTATTAAATTACAGGGCCAATATTAAACCAAATTTGGCCTCACTCATTATTAGGGTATCTGTTATGATTTTAATCTATTTTAACATGATTTCCAAAACCAAAGTAGAATCAGGTGAGCGACACAGGCTCTTGAGAGCCTCTAGTTTTAATTTGTTTTACTCATTTGAAGTATATTTATATTTGAAGTATATTTATATTTGAAAAATTAAAAACACAAAGAACTACATGATTAAATCTGTTAGTGCTTTCAGCAGTTGTCATATCAGCTCTTCAGACAGTACCACATAGTAACGCTCATATACTGTCCGAAGAGCCGATAAACAACGGCTGAAAGTGCTAACACTTTTAAACATGTAATTTTTTTGTGTTTTTTCGTTTTTTTTTCTTTCAAATATACATTACTGTCATGACTGTACCAAGGACATTTTCATTTTCGAATATACATATATATATATATTTTGGAGTATTTGTATATATATGTAGGACTCAAATCTATGGCGGGTTCCAAATCTATGGCAGATCCCTAATCTATGGCAAATATGACGTTACAAACGCCAAACAAATCAAATCTATGGCAGATTTTTGTTTTCTCCAAATCTATGGCAGATTTAGGAATTACGTAATTTTCCGGGAAAAAGAGTAACATATAACGTCACAATAAAGTAACGCCATATAAGTCGTCGCCGACAGTAAAGTTGTTGGCTCTCCAAACTTTCCTGAAGTCCTGTGTTTAAAATACTCAGGAAAACACTTTCCGCTTTCCCTCTAGAATAATTTGCCGATGGTTTAAATGAAGATGTGATCTTTTATCCATAGGAGGGACACTCATTATTGTACCGTCCGAATCCCGCGATCAAGAAAGGCACAGCTGTTTTTAGTAGTGGATATTTTGGGAATGGAGTTATAGTAAATATTTTAGCCTCTACGGCTGGCAAAGTAGTTAGAGTGAGAAAATGAAATTACAGGATACCACCTTGACTTAGATCGTCACCAGTTATAAAAGATTGATTAACGATGAAATAAATATTATGCGAAAAGTCAAACTGTTTAAATTGTTTTTTTTTATAAAAAACTGCTTTCTTGTTTGTTAAGGGACTTCCCTTTTTCTAGTTGTTTAAATTAATGGATTAAACAGGTACCATGCACAGATTAGGAAATGCTTATTTTTCCGGGGAAGATAATTTTAATCCCGATTTCTGTATTATGGTATATCACTCCTACACTTTTTTATGGTTGACATCACGATTTGGTTGACCATTATGGAATTTTTATTTCACAAATGTTTATAGACATGCTAGCTCCCGTTGTCGTACATTTCAACTTATTTAAGACAAGTCAGTGATTGTATATGTACTGCCTTACTCTACATTTGCACAAAATCTGCCATAGATTTGGAAACAACAAAAATCCGCCATAGATTAGGAAATTACAAAACTTGCCATAGATTAGGATTTTAACAAATCTGCCATAGATTTGGGATGGCATGACGTCATATTTACCATAGATTAGGAATCTGCCATAGATCTGGAACCCACCATAGATTTGAGTCCTACATATATATTTATAGAGTATTGAGTTTTGTTTTGTTTGATTAAGTTAAAGATTTTGGATTAAATCAATAGTCCAAAATTTACCTGTATTACTGAGCTATTTTACATAAACAAGTAAGATTGACAATGGAAATGGGGAATGGGTCAAAGAGACAACAACCCGACCATTGAGCAGACAACAACAACTAGTATTGTTAAAATTATTGCCACTGACGAAGGCTAATTGTCCAAACGAAATATTTGTCAACACGATTTTATACATCATCTTCGTATATTACAATCTTATATTAGTACTGTTGTGCAAATCTTTAGACTTTTATATATATATATATGTTTAAAATATTTGAAAGATAAAAATGAAAAGCAAAATAAGATCTACAAAAAAGTCAACACGGAAGAAATAGTCAATTGACAACTTATTTTGCATTTTTTGCAGAAACTATAATAGATAGAGAGAAACTGTAGAATTGGAAAAATGTACAACACAATAAGATCTAGAAATAAGTCAACATTGCAATAATTTTCAATTGACCCCTATATTGCCTTTCAGGCTTGAAAGATGTATAAGGCCCTTAATTTCAAAGAAATTGTCATCATCCGTAACTTGATAATATGACACAAGCCAAATATGTACAGACAAGACATTATAACCAATTGTTACATACTGATTTTAGTTCATGACAATCTTAACATATTTTTAATCTCAATCTTTTATAATTTATATGTTATATGCTTATATTTTTAGATTGTCTAGGGTCCAGTGTGACAAACAGGAAAAATGGTATAGAAGATATCTACCATGGTAGATAAGTATGATGAAGATTTGTATGAAAACCCATTCTTCATTGCTTTACAGACAAACTTTCCTCAATTGAATGAAAAAGCAACATCTAGTTGTTGGACAGTAAGTTTAACACATGTACATGTGCACTTGTATAAAATTTGCTGATTTAAAATAATCATTAACATATGTCCTCACCCGGCTCACCGGGAACAAAGACATCTTGTTGGGAGTATGGCTGACATCTGTTCAAACATATTGTCAGATTTTGTCTGATCAAGTGTTATTTGTGTGGACAGAAAAATTAAGACTTGTGTGTAAGGATATTAGAATTAATGCTTGATTGAGGTGTTCTAATTAAAACCAGCAGGTGTATAATATTTTGGAAAGATATTTTTTCCTATTTTTTCAAAAAACCTGCAGCAGAATATTTACTGTTTTGTACATGTGATAATCCAATATATACATACTTCTAAACCAACTAAATTGCAAAGGCGATGTGTCTTTTGTGAGTAGAAAAAGTAACTTACATATAAATCTATGAAAATATGTCACAGTTTGAATTTCTTTTACAAAAAATGTATATGAATATATAAGCTAAATGTTAAAAATCACTTAAATACTCAAAGTTGGATAGCAAGGACAAAGTGAGAAAATGGTTTCCATGAAAATACGTTGGCTTACACTATAATTGTATATACATTATTAATTTTATTTAGCCTGACTTCATTATAGCAATAAAAAAATAAAATGTTATAACTCTATTGAAATTATTTGTTTACATTATATGAATGAATGAGTGGTTTATTCATGTTATTATAGTGCAACCTGTATATATACAACAAATACATATAAAGTACAATATTAAATTACAGCCAGCCAAATAGAGTTACAATGCACTGCCAAATTGAAACTCAATATATATATATATGCTAACTTCAAATGTTTTTCAAGCATCTTTAAAGTTCATCCAAGATTTCATTCAAAAGTTTGTTTTGCTTATTATGTACCTTTTACACCTCTGTCCAGAACACATTTCATGCAAGTACAAGTTTGTGAAAATCAGCTCTCGTGGATTGTTTATAGACACCTTTAGGCATATAATGAATAAAAATAGTACAATGTACATGTACATATGTATTTCAGGTCTGCATACCACGATATTCCTCCGTGGAACATGGAAGTTTTACAGAACATGATGTAAAGGATCACATTATTATTACAACACAGGCCGAGACAGACTTTTATTCAACTTGGTCTGGAAAGGTAAACTTCCCTTTTATTTCAGGTCAGAGGTCATAATCTAGATTTACTTACCATTAACATTTAAGTCACATTATTGTGAATATTTATTTATATTCAGTATATAAAACAAAGGAGATGCTACATAACCTAAAAGAAACAGCAACCCAGAAACGCAAGTTAATCAAAACAGGCAAATACTAGGTCATCATACTGTTTAACCACTCCACAGTGTATTACAGTGTGTAAATAGCTGTATGTCTTGATAAGTTAAGATATGCATAACTCTAACCTGGGCATTTTCTGCAATCAGATTTATTCGTCTATTCCCCAATATATTGTTATTTAACAGTATAAGGTATTTGTACATTTATTTGAATATAGGATTTTTTTTTCTCAATGAAGAATGAACACTAGTTTAAATAAAAATTAGTTTTTTTATTTTTGTTGTTGAAAAGTGCATTTGCAATGCCTCTTTCTTGAAATTATTACCTAAGTCAAAATTCAATAAAAAAATATACTACACCTTCATTTGAAGATTTCTATTTCTAATCATGTCAAAACTATTTAAATGAAAAAAAATGATATTAAAAAAATCAGTGCCCCTTCAGTGTTCTCCCCAGGCCATTGTAGCGCTGCTGTATTCAGCGCTATCGTATTTCAGTGCTGTGCTATTGGGCAGACCGCAGCGGTATCCAATCAAATATCAGCGCTATTGTTTTTGAATTTTCAAACTTCCGGTATTATTCTGTACATTTCTGATCACATGGTCTACTGGTTGATTTGTCTGAGAGATCGTTTATTCACTTAACGAAGTCAAATATCGGAGGGGCCAATAAAAGAACAAAATGGCGCCATTTTCAAAACTTTTACTGTCAAAAAACCTTTTCTTTCTGCCGTTTTTCTCTTTAAAAAGATGCAGAAACCTCATGAAAAGGTGGATAGTGCTCGATAGTTCATTCCTAAATTATTGAAGGAAAGTTTTACCCCTTCTCTGACAACGTGGTCTCAACCATTTTTTGAACCATCTACGATTATTTCATTATTTTTTCGAGTTTATAACTGAACTGTGTAACCTGTTATGCTTTTAGGAAAGCATTCCTGTTGTCCAGGGATTCTTTACAAGCCCGTATTTTACGATAACTTGTCCTAGCACCGCTCTTTTCAAAATTGAATAGAGAATAAAACAAAACGAAAAAATCGCGTAAATATATTCAAAATATCGATATTTGTCATCCAATTGTCAATAAATATTAATTAAATATTGTTTTAAAATTAATGTAAACAGGGGATGGCTTGGGTAAGGAATGGCAGTTAATGATGCATGAAGCCATAAGTAAACAGGAAGTCGGTAAGGGAGATAATTTAGGAGGGAATGTTCTAAAAATAGTATCGTCAAATCTTGTCAAATATTTCTGGTGGCAAGAATTCAAAGGTTTATAAAATTATCAAGCACAACCTTTAAAGGTGGTAGTAATGTTTCAATTGGCAAATAAAAATTATTTTTATTGATAATCCACCTTTAATAAAATAAGATCTTATAAAAAATATATAGAATTTCTATCATATTCATCTTGGAATATGTTAGCCTTTTATAAGCATGTCTTTAATAACATTTAGATATTATCGAAAGGGTTATTCCATTTCTTCCTTTGATATTAAATAATATACTGATTTTGATTGCAAAATTGTAACTTGATAGATGTAAATAAAAGTTAATGAAAAAATTCCAATCTTGTCATTGAAAACTTTCTGTAAATATGTGTCAGTAAATTATGAAGTTGTAAAGGATATATATAACTAGTTTATAAGTCAAACAACTGAAATGTCATACTTACTCTTACAAAAAAGGTGGGGTGGGGTGGTATTGAAATCAAATTATATAAATTATCTAGGCATTTTAATTTTTAAAACTTAATAATTGAAATGTAACTTATTTCCTTTTCTGTGAAAGCATATGTATAAATGCAGGTTTTTGTCTATTAAATATGTAACACTCCCAAACGTGTCCATCCCCCCAAACGTGTCCGATTCCCCCAAACGTGTCCATTCTCCCCAAACGTGTCCGTTATATTCAATATTGCCCAAACGTGTCCGATAATTGTTTTTCGCCAAAACGTGTCCACTGTTAAACGCCAGAACGTCTCACGTCTTTTAGCGCTAATACATGTACAAATGACATCAATAACGTTTACGGCAATTCTATGATGGGGGACACAGTTGATGAAGTGGTCATTTATTATCATTAGTTTGTTCAATGCCGGTTGATTATCATAATTGCAAATTTAATCTGTAACATATGAATTAACTTTTGACTGAAATGCAAGTTGCAAGTATTGCATTCTGATTTAGAGCGAACATACAAATAATTTTAGTACAGTTGAATTAATCGTTTACCAAGTGAATTATTTTGTACTAATAAATTCTGATGATGCCTTTTATATTAAACCGAATATTGCACGGCGGGCTTTCCGCAGAATTGACTCTCCTTTTTTCAACAGTTCTGGTATTTTAAAAACTCTTCAAATCAAAAGTTTACTGTTTATCAGGTTTTTTAATAAATTTTAGGTTTCGAGCATCACTAAAGACACACAAACAAGAGACATAACGTCCAGTGCCAAATATTTCATGCGTTATTTGAACGACATCATGTTAACAATAAATACTGTACATAGGTTTTATTATCATACCGGGAATTTAGGATTAGGCCTAAATTTTTACGGTTATTCGGGATTAACACTAGTTGGGGTTTTAATCTAAAAAAATTAAGAGCCAGTAACAACCAATTTTTTATGACTTCAGTAAGAAACTACTTCAATCTCCGTTATGTAAGAGGCCGTTTTAAATATAAGTTGCGGAAATTAAAAAAAAAAAGAATGTTGCCTTCCAAAATACAACTGGTGGCACCATGAAAGAGTGAATTGCTACACAGGTTTTAATGCGCAGAGAGAGTGACATTCTCCCTACACGAGGTATTTGATTTAATATCTACAAATTAACTGAGCCAGGTAAGGACTAACGTAAACTTGTTCGTGTGTCTTTAGTGATGCTCGAAACCTAAAATTTATTAGAAACCCGGAAAACCAGTTTTTGATTTGAAGAGCTTTTAGAATATCAGAACTGTTGAAAAAAAGGGAAGTCAATTCTAATGAAAGCCCGCCGTCGGATTAATATAAAAGGCATCATCAGAGTTTATTAGTAAGACATAATTTACATAGTAACGTTATGTCTCTTGTTTGTGTGTCTCCGTTATGTAATAGAAGCCGTTTTAAATAAACGTTACGGAAATTTAAAAAAAAAAATATTGCCTTCCAAAATACAACTAATGGCACCATGAAAGAGTGAAATGCTATAGAGGTTTTAATGCGCAGAGATAGTGACATTTTCCCTACACGAGGTATCTGATTTAATATCTACAAATTAACTGAGCATGGCTGCTTACATTTACATCGAACATAGTTGAACGGACGCCCCACTTTTACCCAGGTTATACTGCCGGTTAAAAAAAGACCTAAAGTAATTTATTTCTATTTTTTAATGAAATAGTAAAATGAGTATACGTTAATGAAAAAACCAAATAACCTACGAATTTATAATATGGACACGAATGATAGTTCCAGTAAAGGAAAAAAAATAAGCTTGATATGGACACGTTTGGGGTATTGGGCACGTTTGGGTGTTTATACAAATGACACGCTTTGGCGCCCTTTTACATTAGGACATGTTTTGCAGTTCAGTGACGTCATGTGGACACGTTTGGGGGAATCGGACACGTTTGGGGGGAAGGACACGTTTCTGAGTGTTACATAACCAACATGGTAGTTATAAATAAATGTAACATCATGTAAAAATGTGAGTCAAACTAATATCGCACGCTTACCACAGCGCTATCAAATAATCCTGGGGAGAACACTGTCCTTCTAAAAAATGAAATATCAAAAGAATTTGTATCAATATTGAGAAATTCTCCATCTTTTGACTATTGAATACAATTTTTTGTCTCGCAGAAAGTCGCAGTATGCGAGATTTAGGTTGTACTATCCATTGGCGATGTAAACTATTTGTATAAAGCTTTATATTTCAGAAGGTAGAAGACCTGGATACTTCATAACTTGTATGCAGATACCTTATGTTACGAAGTTTCCATTAATCATATGTCCATTGTCCTTGATGTCATTTTCATGGTTCAGCAACTGCTTGAAAAAAAAGATCAGTTTTTTTGTCATGTGAATTTCTCACTCATTATGAGTAATAGGATAACTGTATTTGGTATATGGGTTCCTTGCAACGTCTACATGTCATGTCCGTCAGACAGAGTTCACCTGACCTTGACCTCATTTAATGGATCAGTGATCAAGGTTAAAGTTACGTGATTAGGTCCATTTTTCAAATACTATAAGCAGTAGGTCAACTATATTTGGTGTATGGAATGATTGTAATGGGTACATGTCAGTCTGGCAGGTTTCATCCGATCTTGACCTCATTTTCATGGTTCATTGGTCAATGTTAAGTTTTTGTGGTTTGGTCTGTTTTTCAAGTACTATAAGCAATAGGTCAATTATATTTGGTGTATGGAATGATTATAAGGTGTACATGTCTGTCTGGAAGGTATCATCTGACCTTGACCTCATTTTTATGGTTCAATGGTCAATGTTAAGTTTTTGTGTTTTGGTCTGTTTTTCAAATACTAATAGCAGTAGGTCAGCTATATATGGTGTATGGAATGATTGTAAGGTGTACATATCTGTCTGGCAGGTATCATCTGACCTTGACCTCATATTAATGGTTCATTGGTCAATGTTAAATTTTTGTGTTTTGGTATGTTTTTCAATTAGCATATGCAGTAGGTCAGCCATATTTGGTGTATGAAAAAATTGTAAGGTATATATATCTGTCTGACACAATTTATCTGACCTTGACCTCATTGTCATAGAATTTTAAAAATGTTAAGTTTCTGTAATGCTTTTAGTAAAACCTTTATCTTTAAGACTTTCAACATAAAATCAATGGTCAGTAAAGCAGGCAAGACATTTCAGCGTGTGCACTCTTGTTAAACATAATAATCATGATAATACTCCCAAAAGCAACCATTTACAAGTAAATTTAGGAAGACACACTTGTTTTATCAACTGAAAGATACCCAATTATCTTTCTGAATTTAATGTAAGATTGGTATATCAAGTTTTTTGTTGTTCACCATGATACCCGAGAATTTATTTAAAATTATGCACACAACTCTTCCAGTCTTTCCATCAGTGATTTCGATTGCTTTGATTGTCAGAAGTACCTTAGATAGTACACTTACTTCTTGAGCTGAATGGTAATTTTTTACTGAAATGATAATGACATTTCGATCCTTGTGGTGTCTGTTCTTTTTAAACTTATGATTTTAGATTGTCCCTTGGTTTCTTCTCTGTTAAAAGTGTTTAAACACAAGTTAAACATTTTGGGCTAAAATCACTTATCCAAAGTTGTGATGGTTGTCTCTAAATGTCTTACAGAAGCTTGTAAAAAGAAATGAATATTGAAAATGGGATAAAAAACATGTCTGACTACCTGTAGTTAAAAAATGTCTGGATCACAGCACCGATGATGCTTTGATTTACAAATTTGATTAATATTAGATTTCAAGGTTTGCAAACAATAAGTTAAAAAAAATCAGATGCTCACTCAGTATCCATGGTAATGGTGGACTGGTAATACAAGCAAAATCCACCAGAGCTGCAGAAACATATAATATTGATATTACATTATTTTGTTTTGACATTATCATTAAAATTTGAAAAAGCTTGTATTGGTCCTAATGGCATTTGTATAACACTTATTTCTCATTTTAGAAAGTCTGCATCACAGATGGAAAGCTTGCATTAAAGATAGGGAATGAAGAAAATACGGTACAGTTTCATTTTCTTACGGGTATTCCAGTTAGGAAGAAAATGTCTATTACATGATTTCATCTTACTCTGTACCATGTCATATGGTATTAAAAAAAAACCTCTCATTGTTGTTTTTCATCTGGACAGTTATGAAAGTCTTCAGTGAGGATTTAAAGAACTCACATTTTACAGCAAGTTTGCACCTTTTTGAGAATTTTTGATAAAAACATATTGCTATACTGAAGAAAACAGCAATTATTTAATTCAATGCTTCTTAGTTTTGCACAGTGTCTATCCATTTTTAGGTGCCAATTTTATTTGAAGAGACATTTTACAACAACAGTGATGAATCTTACAAAGTATTGTGTATTGGCTGGCCACTGAATACTATTCCTAAAGGTCTGTATAACACCTATTGTGTATTGGCTGGCCACTGAATACTATTCCTAAAGGTCTGTATAACACCTATTGTGTATTGGCTGGCCACTGAATACTATTCCTAAAGGTTTGTATAACACCTATTGTGTATTGGCTGGCCATTAAATACTATTCCTAAAGGTCTGTATAACACCTATTGTGTATTGGCTGGCCACTGAATACTATTCCTAAAGGTCTGTATAACACCTATTGTGTATTGGCTGGCCATTAAATACTATTCCTAAAGGTCTGTATAACACCTATTGTGTATTGGCTGGCCATTAAATACTATTCCTAAAGGTCTGTATAACACCTATTGTGTATTGACTGACCACTGAATACTATTCCTAAAGGTCTGTATAACACATATTGTGTATTGGCTGGCCACTGAATACTATTCCTAAAGGTCTGTATAACACCTATTGTGTATTGACTGACCACTGAATACTATTCCTAAAGGTCTGTATAACACATATTGTGTATTGGCTGGCCACTGAATACTATTCCTAAAGGTCTGTATAACACCTATTGTGTATTGGCTGGCCACTGAATACTATTCCTAAAGGTCTGTATAACACCTATTTCCTGAAAATGGTTTATTGAATAATATATCCTTTCAAGCTAAAAGGGCCTCATTTAATATTTTGATATATTTTTTTTAATTTCATTTTATTATGCCTAATGAAAGATTACTTTTCTTTTTTGTTTGGTTCCCCTTTGGTACACATTCTTTGTCAGCCATTTTATATTTAAATTCTATTCTTTTGGAGTTATTATATGACACTGTCACACAAACATTTTTTGTTGAGTTAGAATGAAAATCAGGTTTAAAAATTAGTTAGTACAGTTTTATGTAAGCATAATAGGAAACAGTAATAGTGTTAACATTTTCCCTAAAATAACTTTCCCAGAATCATCAGATACACAGTTTACATTTGATCTTGAACTGTTGTCAAAGATGATTTTTGTATTAACTGAGAAAGTACAAATGTATATGACATATATTCTAAAGAAAGAATGAAGAGCGTCTTCACATAACGAAATCTTTTATCTAAACTACATATGATCAAAATATCGTCGCTAAGTAGCGATGTCGAATATACTGTTACATAATTACCGCGCTAAACTACGTTAAAACATTTACCAATTATAAGAAAATGTCTATAATAAAAGAAAGTAATTACAACATTCTGGGGGTCTCAAAATGAGTTTACTGTTCATATTTCAAGTGGGACTAGTTTAACAATTGGCCGTGTAGTAATAAGCCCATTTGATGTAGGAATCTTTGCAGCATGAACAAGTCCATTGAGTCCTGTAATCACATCTTCTATAACACCTAACTTCCACATTGTTCTTGGTGAATTGTCCATGATCAGTACAACAGAACCGATTTTCACATGTGTACTGATTTTTCCTGTCATAAGGTGGTACTCTCTCAGTCCGGTAAGGTATTCAGTTCTCCACCTTACCGGACTGAGAAAGTAATTTACAACATTTTATCTGTGTATTATAGTTATCTTGCAGGCCTCTACAATAACTTTTTTTTCAACTTGTCCAGTAGGACAAGTACATACCAAAATTAACTTGTCCGAATGAAATTGTAACTTGTCCAAGTTTTAAGTTGATTCAAGGAACAAAATGAATTAAAACAATATAACAGAAGTTAGTTTTATATCTTTTGATATACTTTTCAAAAATATGAGTCGAGAACAACTGAATCTAGTCATGTAACAGGACTTTAAGGTTCTAGTTTTCACCGATGCCAAAGTCTCATCAGACTCTGCACATGAGGCCCCGTCTGATAGGCCTGTCAATGTACACTCATTGGATTTGTATCCTGTTTTTTTAAGTTGAAAAAAAGTTTATTCAAATGCAATCAATAAAAAAAAGAAGATGAGGTATGATTGCCAATGAGACAACTCTCTGCTAGAGACCAAATGACATAGAAATTAACAACTATAGGTCACCGTATTGCAAGTATTGTTTTTTTTCTACATATGATCAAATATGATTTTGTGAATTTTATGGTAAATAATTTCTTCATTTTTATTTAAAAAATATTTTTGTTAAAAAATTACTGGTTTGGTATTTATTATAAAGCAACAGAATCAAGGTAGGAAAACGAGGTACTGATTTGTCTTGGTCCCGAAATTTCTCCTGGTTGCCAGACTGTCTATTTATCATGTCTATTAAATATGTCTCCTACTGTGCCAAACTGTCTATTAAACTTAAAGCCGAATAATTTGCAAGCTGGTGACGAACTGTCTTGTAAAGTTATCTATCTACAAAGCTCATTGCCGATTCTGATCAGTAAGACTGGTTTCCATAAGAGTATGCCTTTTACCTGTTAAAAAGTACCTGACAAAGAACCAGTTTTAAATTATCGATTGCAAGTAAACATGTCAAATTAATACTTGTTTTTATCTTCTTTTCTTGTTTTTTGTTTATAACTACTTTGTTCATCAAAGTTGGATTAAATTTATTTTATGCAGAATAATTTTACTTGTCCCATCAGACAAGCCTGATATAGCTTTTACTTGTCCGACCTTTTTTTCCTCTGGTACCGGACAATCGGTTAAGCGCTATTGTCGAGCCTTGTCTTGATATTTTAATCATCATTGTTAAATTGTTTGTTTGTTTTGTTCTTTGAAACTTACTGAATTTATGTAGAATATGCAATTTTAGTATAAAAAATTCAAGCTTTTATAAATTGATACTTAACTGTTTATACTTTTTTTTTTGCTATGCTTTTATTTTTGTAGAAAAAGAGATCTTTGTCATAATTAATATGTGTAATTTAATGCCTTCTAACAAGGAAATGTTAAAACATGTTTGAATTAAGGTGTTTTTTTTTTTTTGGAAGAGGGAATTTTGTACTTTCCAAGTGGAATTCCTTACTATGCATGCTTCTAAGGCCACACAAAATTTTCTATTCACAGAACTGTTTTATTTTCAGATAATGTTAAAAATGATCACCTCAAGACTGCAGCAAGGCCAGCCACATATGAAGAGTGTTGTAGATTGCTGTTTGGACACTCTGGTATTTAGACACTAAACCAAATTATATAAAAAATGGGAAGAAGTTACCAACAGACAATCAAAAACCAGAAGTTGAGGAAAATCGAACAACACCATGGCAAAAAATATTTAAAAAAAATTGAACAGACAAACAACAGTCCACACTACAAAGAAAACTAAAGATTAAGTAACATGAAGCCCACCAGAAATCAGTGTTATCTAGAGGGGTCGGTAGATTTTACTCCACTAGTGGCTGTTGTCATTTTGCTCATTGCATATTTAAAAGTAGGGAATAAAATAATCAAAGTCCAGAATACAATGAGGCAAATACAAAGCAATGAGATTACAGACAAACTAGAAAATGATTCGTCCATCCATTGTAAAAATGGTTTCCATATAGCATCATGATAGTATAAATTTTACTAGATCAAAATCCTATCTTTAGATAAGTTATATTGCCCACAATATACAGGTCAAATTGAACTTTTAAAAACAATGACTTGTTCTGTTCCTCCACCCTTAGTATTTTAGCACCACCATGGATTTCCAGACCCACACTTGATTTACTTAGCATAAATCTTTAAGAAAATTGGGATTAATATATTAGATAAATTTTGAAAACATTTCTTAAGATTATTTTCAAGGATTTTGAATGCTATAATGATTTCGTTCATCACATATATTTAAAATATGGCCATTACATGTATTGGAGTTAGAAAATTATGTATGGAAAGGGTTCTTATAACTGTACCTATAAAATAAATTATATAACTGTGTATTTTTATAGGATCCAGAAGAAGTCAGGATGCTGTTGACAAACTACTGGATTCCTTTGCAAAGTCCTACCAGATATCAGGAGAAAAGTTTGTTGATATAGTTGTAAGTGGGTCTGTTATATGAGATTACTTAACTCTAAAATATCATTACAATTTACAGCTGCCATTAGAAGCCAGAAAAAGCTGGAAAATCTATCTGGTGTTAATGGTTTGTGGAAAAGTAATTGGTTCAGAAGAATTAAATTTAGAGTTTCAACTTCACACTTGACATATCAATGGAAATAGTATTTCCAAATTTCACACTGTTTTAAAATTCATAATTGGATATTATGAAGTCAGAAATAACATGAAAATTGGTACCCATGAGGAAACTTTATCTTGATTGTTTCTGACTTATGATGAAGAAAAGTTTCTTATATTGCTGATAATTTTGTGTCATGTATTTATTTTTAATTTTACAACAGGTTTCAGAGTTAAAAGTACTGTTAGTTTCAGCCAACATTGTATACATATACTCTGTGGGCATTTTAATTATACAACATGTGATTGTTTTCTTTTATCAAAGTTTACTACCATCAGGTTGTCACTCTATTTAGTAAAAACTTCTGATAGACGTATTTACACTTGTATGTTAATTTATCCGCCATTACTAGAAATCACACAAGGTCCTGTAAAATTTGACGTAATTTAAAACATTAGACATCATACCGGTAATTAAAAAGTGAAGAGAGTTAATCAGAGACAGATCTTAAGTCATTTGAAGACAAAATCCAGCTAAATACCAAAAGCGTTTTACATTTATTGGATAGGACAACATTGGTGTTGTTAATAAAGTAATAATGTAACTTGAGAAAATATTGTTTTAATAAAATTATTTCTCCCCTCCCGATTGAGCACTTTTAAAACTGCCAACCATTTTGAAAATTAATTTTCAGTTGATGAGGAATATGTAAGAAAAAAATATTTAATTTATCAATTACCAAGTTAAAACATTGTTATGTATAAAATTGGGTTTATATTTTAGGACATTGCTTCTACACAGTACACCAAAGTTATGCAGACAGCCATGAAAGATTCTATTGTGGTAAGATTATGCCTATTAGCAAGGCATTGTGTACCTATAAAATAAAGTTCCAAGGTGAAACACAATTTTGATTTCTTAAAGAAAAGGATGCCAAATGTTTTTATACAACCGCAAAATTTTTGCATTCATATACTATGGCGATGTCTGTGTCATCGTCTAAAGACATTTGTTGTCCAAAAACATTTTGGTTCGCAGACAATAACTTGAGTATGAGTGTATGGATTTCTATGAAATTTTAGCACAAGGTTCCATACCACAATAAGAAGGTTGGGATTGATATTGGGGTTATTGTCATAGCTGTTTGGTAATTAGGGGCCAAAAACAAACATTTTTCTGGTTCGCAAACAATAACTTGAGTATAAGTATATAGATCTCTATGAACTTTTAGCACATGATTCCATACCACAATTGGAAGGTCAGGATGGAGTTTTGGGGTTATTGTCGTAGCTGTTCAGTAATAAAACTATGATTTTCTGGTTACGGGACAATAACTTGAGTATATTTCTTTGGATCTCTTTGAAATTGTACCACAAGGTTTCATACTATAAAAGGAAAGTTGGGATTGATATTTGGAGTTATGGCCTGAACTGTTTAGGTAAAAAGTGGCCAAAATAATACTTTGTATAAATTGCTGATTTCTTGACCAATTTCAATAGGATTTAATTCAAAGTCTTGAACTCTTGGTTTTTTTTAGTATGCTGAATCTAACCATGTATTAAAATTTTGGATTATGGGCCACGTTTTTAGAATTGATCCACATTGAGGTCTAAAGAGTCCAAAATTAAATTTTGTTTGATTCTAACAAACATTGAATGCTTGAGGTTCTTTGATATGCTGAATCTAACTGTGCATTTAGATTTTTGATTTTGGGCCCGGTTTCCAAATTGGTCTAAAGGATCCAAAATTAAACTTAGTTTGATTCTAACATAAATTGAATTCAAGGGGTTCTTTGATATGCTTGAATCCAGGGATGGGCACGATTACTGTCAATTGTAATCGATTAATAATCGATTACATACAGGATTTTTGTATAGTCGATTAATAATCGATAACACTGATTTTTGTGTGTAATCGAATACAATCGATTACTTTATCAAAAGTAATTACATTACTTTTCGATTACTGTCGATTACATGCCAAAATTTATTTTAGAAATAACTAAAGAAAGCTTACCACAATTACACTGGTTGATAAGTTTGATAGTGGAAATTAAGAACTTTACACAAGCACTGCTTCTAAATGTCTTGTTTTAAACAGTTGTTGTCTAGACCGATAAACCAAATGAATTACAAGTTCTTGAAATATGGGTCAACATGACAGAGTGGTGATAAAGTTCCTGCATTGACTTCCACCAATGCACCTGTCACATCTTTTTATTATGGGCCATTTGCTTCATATTTTGCACATATTTTATCACATACTGTCTCACTGACTTAAATTTTGTTGTCCGTTTAACATTTAATGATAGATTATAAATTTGAATTTTTAGATGATAATTTATAATGTTTATTACTATAAAAATGTTTGATTTTTTCTAAACTTTAAAATAAAAGTGTTATAATTTGTCTAGATAATTTGATAGGTGAATTCTTAAATTTAATTAAATGCATGGATTTATATTTTTGTTTGGATAATCTTCTTAATTACAGATTACAAAGCTGCCAATGGAGTAATATTTATATCCTAGGGCCATATAATGTATATCTGATACTTAATTAGATATAATTGAAATCAAAACAAAGTCTGCATGTCACTCATTAAATGTCTTTGATCATCTGATCAGAAAAGCTAAAAGACAATTGAGAATTGTTTATGCTCACTATTTAAATTCATAAAACTATATATTTTTATTGTCAAAATGGGATACAAGTACATGTGTCTCTATTACTGAACTAGAATATAAATGCATCGGTTCATTGTCAAGATGTTTTTAAACCTTTCTTATTTCTTATATCATAACATTGTATCATGGAACGAAGGTTGATTATTCCAAGATAAAACTAAATGACTAAATAATATTTATGCTTTTAAATAAATTTACACAATCAAGCTGTTTCCTTCAATGTATATGTAGAACGTAACTTGATTTTAGCTATTTTTCTATTTTCATTTTATATATACACATATATATATATATATTGAAGATCTTTAATATTTTTAGAAATCTCAAGTAATATTTATACATTCTATTTAATCTGTACTTTAAAATGAAAAAAACATGCCGTTGTCTATTTTCATCTAAACTAGGTTCTATTTTATCAAACTATTATTAATAAGTAATCGAAATGTAATCGAAAAGTAATCGATGATTACATGATCATTTTTGCTGTAATCGATTAAATTACGATTACATGTAATCGAAAATGTTGATGATTACAGATTACTGTCGATTACTTGGAAAAATGAAATCAATTACAATCGATTACAGATTAGAATTACCCCATCCCTGCTTGAATCTAAACATGTATTTAGATTTTTGATTTTTGGGTCCAGTTTTCAAAGGGTCTAAATTTTAACCCAGTTTGATTTTAACAAAAAAATAAATTCAAGGGGTTCTTTGATGTTCTTGAATCTAAACATGTATTTAGATTTTTGATTTTGGGTCCAGTTTTCAAGTTGGTCCAAAGGTTCCAAAATTTAAGTTAGTTTGATTTTAACAAAATTTGAATTCAAGGGGTTCTTTGATATGCTTGAATCTAAAAATGTATTTCGATTTTTGATTTTGGGTCCAGTTTTCAAGTTGGTTCAAATTGGGGTCCAAAATAAACTTTGTTTGGTATGAACAAAAATTGAATATATGGGGTTCTTATATATGCTGAATCTATTTAGAGTTTTGATTTTGGGCCCTGTTATTAAATTTGTCCACATTTAGGTCCAAAGGGACCAAAATTAGTCTTTGTTCAATTCCATCAAAAATTGAATTCTTGGGGTTCTTTTATATGCTGAATCTAACCATGTATTTAGATTTTGGATATTAGACCATAATAGGTAAAAGTCCAATTTCAAATTTTTTAGTTCTTCGACCACATTCATTATGTGTCAGAAACCTATGCTGTGTCAAATATCTAATGACAAGCCAAATTCAGAGCTGTATCAAGCTTGAACGTAGTGTCCATACTTGCCCCAACTGTTCAGGATTCGACCTCTGCGGTCGTATCAAGCTGTGTCCCAGTGGAGCATTTTATTCTGAACTAGTTTATGATTAGGGAAAAGACAAAATTTTGGACAATTTTTTTTAAGAATTTAGAGGAAAGAGTGATTGCTTGGAAATTTATATAATTTTCAGCTTCTATAACAGGTACAGAATACATTGATTTTAATAAAGATCATTCCCATAACAAAACCACCTATTTGCGTAGATAGCATTGCCTTATAAACACTTACAAAGTTATTGCCAAAAAAAAATTTAAAAAAATGAGGTGGTAAAACATCGAAGCATAATGAAGAATAGATTTTGGTAATTTCATAAAATAAATTTTATAAAGATTAATATTCTGAACTTGCTTTCAATTATCACTTTTCTGTTTATTCACTTGAAAGGGTCTTGTGTACTGGTAACCATGGTGACAGTCCATGAATTAGTCATGTACCTTTCTTTAAATCTTTTATGCTGCCTAAGGTGCAGATTGTATATATCTAATTGAAAAGAGGCATGAATACAATTAATAAGTTTTATATTTCAGAGACGACAAGCACAAGAAAGCCAAGGAAACATGGATAATTTAAAGTTTGCAGTGGAGGTAAAATAGTTTAGCTTGAATATGAAGTAGAGTAATGAATAAGAAAAACTACGCACTTGCATATGCCCAGTCTTCACCAAAAAATGTATACATGTACATGGAAGCCAGACAATCAGTCTGCCATAAAATTTCTATTAGATTTACTGTGGATTCATTTATTTTCGTGGGTATCAATTTTCGTGGATAGAGAAAAAAAGACGTTTCGTGGTATACGTAAATTCGTGGATCGCTGATTACAAAAAGAAAAAAAAAAATTCAGATACGTAATTCGTGGATTTCTTTTTAATTTAGGAGATCATATAACCTCCTTGGTTTGATCAATAATGAAAAAAAAAAAAAAAAAAGGAATTCATTGAAAAAGTTTTGATTTGTCAAAATCCTCGCTTGGTCATTCTAGGTTAAAGTGTTCATTGAAAACTTCTATTACAATAATGGACAGAGACAACTAATTACTTGTTTGTTTTACAATTCATAAATTCTTGTCGGAATTTTATAAGCCATTCAAAACTCTATGACTGAAATCACGATAAAATAAACAGTCATATAAGTAAAAGGTGTGAAAATAAATGTTCTTGTCATAAACAATATTACCTACGGGCAATATCCCCGTACTTAATCCTATTGATTTTTAATCACCAGTAAACCACACAATGACACAGTAATTAACAACTTGCAGTTATTTTCCACGAACAGTTTTATTCAATTTTAAAAAGTAAATTATCACTGATATTCGATATATTTATTATTGATTTAATCAAAATACTTGTATCTTCTTTCAATAAAAACACGTGTTATGTTACAATGTTTATCGCTAGTCAACACTATACTAGAACTGCATAACATAACCGGAAATAAACATCCGACTCCATACACATTTCTCTGGATTATTCTTTGTTGAATTCTTAAATTTGTGGTTCGCTGTGACCCACGAAACCCATGAAAATTGGTATACCACGAATAAAAATGAATCCACAGTATATGGCCTTTTTCAGGAAAATTTTACTGGCCCGACAACATTTTTACTGACCTGGGCCATTGGGCTTGTGGCTAATGGTGAAGCATGTACATTTTTTGTAATATCTTCCATTGGGTTTTTGAATGACTGAAAAGTTTTGAATGTTATTGCATATCTGTCAATATATGTAGACACAATTATTTCTGAGTAATGACCTTTTCCTGGTTGACACATCTTTCGTATTATTTGATAGTGTTCCTTGACACATCATAGGTTGGGTTTTTTTTGGAAATTCCTTCCTCACCTGTTCATGAAAAAAGGGGCCAGTAATATCGTTTTCAATAGTTTTTTTCATGCATGTTTTTCTTTTCTTTATAAAACTTCTTATTTGAAGAATGTCAACAGATTTGAGATATTATTCTTAGTTGCAATGATACAAGGGAACTTCACCTCTACAAATCTCTTTGATGATACAATGGACATGTTTTATGCACGAAGGACTTTTGTTAAAATTCTAAAAAGTACATATTTCAGGAAATCACTTTGGTAGAAATATCTGTTCTATTCAATGCTACAATTATTATAATGGTTAAAATGTCCTAGATTTCATGCTTAGGCCCTTATAAGTTATAGTTTTGTGTGATATCATTAAAGGTCCATAGTACTTTTTAAATAAATTTTATCAATACATTTCATTTCTTTATTATCATATTATCTTATCATTACCATAGTGCTAGAACATTTGAGTCAATACAACCTACATTTCACACTTGATAAACTTGCTTTAAAGGTGTAATTTAAGTCCAAGTTGTAACCTTTTTACATATTTTTTTAGAGCATGGTATTCATGTTTTACAAACTTGTCCTGTATTGTTTTTTTTTGGATTTTATTTTCAGGCCTACATGATGCAAGCCATTCATAAAGAATTATTCCAAGTCATACTAACCAACTTTTCTAGTCAGGATACAGATATCAATAAGATGAGGAGAAATTTAAAGGACATTAACCTCAATAATCTAGGTGTAAAGTCAGATTTCATTTCTAATATAGTTCCTGCCAGAAAGGAATTGGTCAGGCTGAATTCCTACTCCACACCTTTTGGGAGGATGAAATGTTTGAAAAGAGTAGTCTCAATTTTATGTAGACCTCCAAAGAGAAAGAATTCAGGTAGATTGGTGAACTGATGATTGCATATCTTGAAAGTCTCTGTTAAATTTATTCACAATTTTTCTATATTAGGATAATTAAGGGCTTGCAAGGCCGTAACTACCATTGAGGGAAGTGAGGCAATTGCCTCACTAAAATTTCGACAGTGAAATTTTTTTTTTTTGTATTTGTTTATGGTAATTAAATACCAAATATAGTCATTTGGTAAATATAAGAAGATGTGGTATGAGTGCCAATGAGACAACTCTCAATCCAAGTCACAATTTGTAAAAGTAAACCATTATAGGTCAATGTACGGCCTTCAACACAGAGCCTTGGCTCACACCAAACAGCAAGCTATAAAAGGCCCCAAAAATGACTAGTGTAAAACCATTCGAACAGGAAAACCAACAGTCTAATCTATATAAAAAACGAGAAACTAGAAACACTTATGAACCACATAAAGAAACGACAACCACTGAACATTAGTTTTGTTTTTCATAATTTGTTTTTTCTGTCTCAACCTTGATTTCTACAACTTGACATCCTTCCTTTTAAATTATTCTTCCCGGATATAACTCTCAGTCACCGCTTGATGTTTCTCGATTACATTAACCTAGTAACCGCTAATCATCATGGATCTCTGTTAAAAACAGGCTCTTGCAGAAAAAGGAAAAGCAATACCGAAGGTGAGGATGGAATAATTCTAGTAAACTAATGGATGTTATTAGTGATCACAACAGGTGTTAAGGGTTCCAGTATTGAATATATTTTCATTGGCACTAATCCAAAAACTATAAATAGACTGACAAATCAAGTACTGGGGCACCGCATGGGAGCAGTCCTGTCTGAGTATTCATTTCCCCGTTTTCCAAAACTTTATTCGTTCTTAAAATTTGAAAGAACATCCCGTAATCCAATTTGAAATTATTGAGGGACGGTAGGACTTTTAAAACGGGATTTCGTGTTTTATAATTTGGGACTACGGGATTTCGTGTCTTTCAATTCGGGATTTCGGGATCGGACCCCCCATCGTTATGCGATTGTCGTTCTAAAATATCTTACCACTGACTATTTCCAGAAATAATCTAAAAACGGCGAATTCAGTCCAATTTCCCCGTATCCATAAAAAAATATATATATATATTGAATTTCTTAGAGTAAAATGGTATTGTTATATTCGATTTCCCTTATCCATAACATTAAAAGGTAGCATGTGGCAAAAAGAAGAACCAAAATAATATTCCTTAAATAATATAAAGTGACATAGGGGTTACCCCCATACCTCAGTGAATCCAGATGACAAAGTTATGATTATCCGATATTCCTGAAGGTGAAATGGCAAAGTAGATTCCAATATATCCGGTTCGAGGCTTAAAACTGAAAAGTGATATTTAGCTCCGTCTGCATTGAAACGGTTTGAAATCAAACCATGACATCTTCAATCTATGCAACAATGTCAAGCTCTCTGGAAATGCCCAGAATGCAGGATTTTACACCATTTATCCAAGACCCCCCCACCTAAATTTTTTTTCGTGGCGGTCAGTTTTGCCTCACTAAAATAATATGCCTATTTACGGCCTTGGCTTGACATGTTGTATAGAAACTTGTGTATTGTTTGAGACTGTATGTTAATCTCTAGATGTCTTTTTGTGTCATTGGGTTGCTGTCTCAACTTACTTCATATGGTAAAAGATTTGCTGCTGAAATATCCCGTTTTCACTTATTTTCGTGAATGGTTGTGATATAGGGTTGTCAATGACATATATCTAAACATTCAAGGGTGTATGTCATCTTGTATTAAGTCAAAACATAACCTTACAAGATATTGTATACTTGATATAAAGTTGTAAACAAATTTAAATACAGCCGCATACTGATTTTCAGAAAAATAATTCTTCTCTTACATGTATATTACCTTGCTGCCATATGTGTAAATTGATGTCAGTGGTTGAAATTGATTTGAAGTTTTTATTTCATTATTCATGAGTTCATAAAAATTATAATTACCATAATAAATAAAGAAAGAATAAACATGTCTTTAAGGAATAACTTTTACTTTCTTTGTTGTATTTTGTATTTTTTCAGTAGAGGAATCCATAGTGATCACCACAGATGATTTCCTTCCTATGTTAATCTTCCTGATTGTAAAATCTGATATTCCTAATTGGTAAGCAATGACTCTATCAACTGTTTAAGAGCTTGCTTTACAGTGTGAGAAAAACTGAAAACGTTTCATGAGAGAATACAAAGCTTCTTTGTCCATCAGGCTGTCTGTCTGAAACAAATGTTTTCCCTATAATGACTTCAGTTGGATTTTGAAAAAAAACATGTAACTTTGCAGTATTACCATTTTCCAGGAAATGCAATTCTTTAATATCATAATGTTGTACCAGCTACAGATGGTATTTATGGTTTCTGAATAAAAACTCAATAGAAGAATAAGAAGATGTGGTATGATTGATTACAAGACAACTCTCCACCAGACACCAAATGACCAAATGATCAAGTTTGCATTTTGGAAAGGACCTTATAACATTTACAGTAGAATCCCCTGTGTCCTCAGGGCCGAAAATGATATCATGCATTACCTGATTTCATCATATCTACAATGTTACATAGATAGAATTGTTATTGTTATTGTTTTAGTCTTTCGAAGAGACAATAAAGATTAAAATTGATAAGTTCAAGCATAAATTTATGATTGCAATCCCATGATTAACCATATTTTTAAACTATTTTCCATAAAAAGTACGACATTATATTAGAAAAAGTTGGTTTCATTTTATGGCAAATTTTATAAAATTGAAAAAAAAACTTTTGCTGTGCATCTATGGCAGTCTGTTTGGTTCACACTGAACTGTATTTCATAGTTTAAAATCCTTCCTTTATTCAAAATTAACTATTTTGAGAAGGCATGCGTGAAATCACAGGACATTTGAAGACCTGTCAAAACTGGGGTTATCATACATTAAGAAGATTTCATGAATTTGTTCACAATTCTAATATAACGTCCTATTATCGTCAACCAGTATAATCACAATATATCTACCTTTAGCGCAGTAATACACAAAAACAGCTGTTCCGCGTTATGACCAAATTATTTATACTACCAGATATTCTCAATTTTCTACATCAAAACCCCAAGTTTACGTAGGCCAAGATTCAGATACAATATATTTATCTCTATTCTACAGTAAAACAAACAAATCAGTCCATTTCAATTTATTTTTCATTGTAAAATTTCATAAACCGAAAATTCCGCGAAATGATGTTATTGTCTTGGCATGGCAACGAAACAAGGTGACTTCACAAGTATGTTTTCACAAACAAAAAATCAAATGTAAATACCGGGCGTTTTAAAGCTTCTTGTACGCCTCAGAACGAATAAAATTACATTGGAAGAAAATATATAAGTGAAAAATGAGATTAAAAAAAATAATCATTGAATTATATGATATTACTAATATTATCAAAATTGGGTAAAACGGAATAGCCAAAACAATATCGTATGTACATGTATAGGGCTTTCACGGTTAACAAAATTATCGAATTTGTCCTATTAGAATCGAAATAATTCATGGCAGCTAACGCTCAGGGTAAAATAATTGAATATAAATGCCCAACCCATGGTTAAATGAAAACAAATCTACGGCTGCCATGAATTATTTCTTAATTTTATTATCCCCATATTGGTTTTACAAGTTTACCTAAGTGAAACCAAAAGTTTTAGGTGCACAGATACACTGCACTGCACTGTAGGGTTTATATGAGTCCTTTAAATCAACATAAGTGAGGCCTTTAATTATCTTTAATCTTCTGGAAAGTCATTGAAAATTGAGCTAATACTGCTAATATTTTTTGTCCGCAGATTTCATATATGTATTACTGTTATACCAGGGATTTGCAATCAGAACAGATATTTGACACTTCAATTATTGAATGATTAAACCAATGTGTGAAGTATTGGGTGTTTTATATGCATTATAGCTTTTGAAAAAACAGAAAACAAGATTAGAACACTTCTGCATGGAAATAAATTCTTATATCTTTTGATGACTTGCCAAAATTTCCACATGCTAAAGAACTTTTTCCAAGGCATAGTTTCGAAGAAAAAGAATTGTAGAAAATTTGTTTATTGAAGAAGACTACTTTATTTTGCAGGACGGCAAATCTTATGTATATGAAGCATTTCCATTTTGCTAGAACAACAGATGATGATGAGTACTTGTAAGTCATGTGATCAGATGTATATTGTAGTCTATACATAGACATTATACAATTATTAACTTTTGATGAGGTTGATACAATGATTTATCAACCCAAGAGATATGATATTCACAGAGGTAAATTTGGAGGGGGAATGTCTTATCTATGGGGTTGATAAATCATTGTATCAACTGATATCAAAAGTCAACAATTGTTTTATTATATTACTTTTTTTATCCATTTCTAATTTTTAGTATTTGCTCAAGATATTTAACTGCTCCTTTTATACTAAATACATTATGTGCTTGGCAGTTGTTAAACTTTTATGAGTTGAAATATTCAATAAGATTTATGAGAGAAAAAGTAACATCGAAAAAAAAGAAGAAAAATGAGAATGTGCATGACATACATAATAAGTCTACGTTATTGACATTGCCTAGGAAAAAAATATTTATAGGTAATAAAACTGTTCCAAATCTTATATTAGCCCCTCATGATTTTTCCCGCAGTGAATATAACGGTTTATCAAAGAAGATTCCCTACATTTTTAGCCAATGAGAAAAGAGAATTTTTATAGTCATATAATAATATTGATTAATGATAATGAATGCTCCAGTGGCAAGTTAAATGAATATTCAGGATGAGAACATGTAAATGTGATATGGATATGAATCATGAATTGTACTAGATTGTCATGCAGAGCCGTATTTTTGTATGTGTTATTTCACAAGATAACAAGTCTGCAGGAGAACATGTCACCCTACCGTGACACATTAATCTTACTCAGGGATGACTAGTCTTTACTTTATCTTCTTGATGCTGGGTGTTTACTAGTTGATTGAATATACAAAATTATTATTAACAAATGAAATCAATTGAAATGATTTGGCCATTTTTACCAACCTCTGTTGTAAATATATACAATGCTGATGTTTTCTAACTGTATTTATAGTAAAAACTTTCTCAGTTGACTGTTTCGAGATAAATCAGAAATGTAATATTTTACATTGTAAATTTAATTAAGAATGGCCTTTTAGTGACATTGATGAAGGTTAGAAATATTCGTTAGGAATTATGATCTTATGAATAATAATGACTGAATATTACACATTTGATAGTTTAATTAAAGATTTTTTATTTGTTATTACTAGGTATTATTTAACTACAGTAGAAGCTGGACTAGAACATATAAAGAGTGGTAAACTTACAGAAGAATCAAGCAAAGCTAATATTGTTGTAGGTATAATTAATTTGTATACAATTTGTGGTAATGCCATGATAATAAAAATGAATATAGATGTGGGGTATACATCATGTATAGTGACCCGATGGATGTAAAAGGATCACTCAAAATATGAACATACTGCCTATCTTTACAATATAAACAAATGGAAGGAGATGTGTGCATATATCAATGATACATCAACTCAATGACAGTTAACCTTAAGACTAGAAGTCACCATGAATGATTGACAGGTCGCTATACAATATTTTAAAGCCATTTATGTTATACACATCAGTAATGTGCTGGAGACACCAACATAGTATATCACAATATTTTACGATTATATTTCTCATGTCATATTAAGCCTTCTCTCTAAGATTTAGTGCCTTAGTAAATTACATACCAGTTTTAATAAGATATATTTTTAATACCATGATATGAATAAGTTTATTTATTACAGGTTTTTCCTAAACATGACAACAAGACAGAAATCAATAGACAGACGTCCAGTAATATTGTAGACAGATTTTTCCAGGTAAAGGTCTAAAAAGAAATTTATATCTTACATGGAGGAATTATTCAGACATGTTCAACATGATAAACAAGAGTAAATTACCTTAAACCAAAAACTAAAGGTTTTAAAAAACAGACAACAATGTATTATATCTGTGAAAAAACAACATGATTAAAGTTTGGTTTCAATAAATTTCAGTGTATTATAACACAGGAATAGGTCTACAGAATGTTCACTGATTAGAGTAATGTTTTGATTTAAGGTAGTTAAGTCTCATGAACTGGAAACTTAATACACATAATTATTGTATTAAGTTTAAAAAATATAAGCCATGTTAGGACTTGAACCCTGATTTATTGTTCATTTAACACAGAAATGTGGTTGTGTGTGTTGGACTAGCAGTCCTATTGACACATATATTTGTTTAAAATCATATATTGAATGTCAGTAAAAAGTTTCAAAGAATTTGAATATGTTTTCAGTATGTCCAATGTGGTGATGAATCAGCTGTGATTACATTACTGAGGAAATTTAAATCTGGTCAGGATGATATAAGTCCGTTAATGTGCCATCCTCTTTGTGGCTGTGATAAATGTTCACGTCTCACGTCACAAGTTAAAACAGATGAAAATCTTGTAACAGCATACACAAGAGATGACAGAGGTTACACAGGTATGTTCACAGATTCTAAGGTTAGAGGTTACACAGGTATGTTCACAAAAGTTGATTGTCATCATGTTGTACATCAGGCAAAAAAACCTTACAATGCCTTGATGAAAATATTGCTATACACCGCCATCTCTTTTCATCGAAAAAGAAAATTATTTTATGTATCAGTATTTAATTTTACTTTACCAATTGATATATTTAAATACAAAAACTTAAATAAATAAATAAATCAAGTCATAACTCTTGGAATAAACGTTTTTTATATATTTATTTTTTGCTGATACTACATTTTTGTATGGTTTGAGAAATTTTTTTTTTTTTGATGAAAACCTGATTTTGACAAATTCTGTATGGGAAACATGTATTGTTGTACACTGACACTCTTAGTTCACCTTTACCAACACAATCTACTGAAATTAGTTTCTCTTGCATAATAATAAATCACAGATTTAAATTGTTTATATGTAATGTAGTCTGTATGTAAATACAATGTAGTAATACTGTGTAATTTATTTCCAGCTCTACACATTGCAGCTTTACATGGCCAGGCACATTTAATAGATGTTCTTATTCAACATGGTGCTATAGTGAATGCTAGTGATTACCTTGGACTAACACCCCTTCACCTTGCTTGTCAAAAAGGCTTTCAGAGTATAATTGTTAGTATAATGAGCTTGCTCTTTAACACTGTATTTAAAATGTTTAATCTCATATAACTGTTGCTTATCAGATTCATACTAAAAATTTAGAATGTCTAGAAGGTAGTTAAAATATTTGTTTACCCGCTACAAACTTTTTTTTTCTGCGTTATAATGATGGAAGGGGAATTGCAGGAAATTGCATTCTAAATTTTGCTGGCATTATTTGTATGCAGCATTTCTGAAATCAGGATGATAAATTGTGCTTTTTATACGCCCGTTTAAGGGACGTATTATGGTATACAGTTGTCCATCTGCGCGCCTGTCCGTCCGTCCATCGTCAACATGTCGGACATTAACTCAAAAACGCTTTAACCAATTTGCATGAAACTTTGGTGAATTGTTTTTTTCTATTGACCTGAGCTCCCTTTCGTTTTTTGTCTCGCCTGCGACGAAAGTCGCAGAAAGTGAGACATAGGTATTACTATCCGGCGGCGGCGATGGCGGCGTAAACTATTTGTATAAAGCTTTATATTTCAGAAGGTAGAAGACCTGGATGCTTCATACTTTGTATGCAGATACCTTATGTTACGAACTTTCCGTCTGTCATATGTCCAATGTCCTTGACCTTATTTTCATGGTTCAGCGACTGCTTGAAAAAAAAGTTTAGTTTTTTTGTTATGTAAATTTCTCACTTATTATGAGTAATAGGACAACTATATTTGGTATATGGGTTCCTTGCAACGTCTACATGTCCATCAGACAGGGTTCACCTGACCTCAGCCTCATTTCATGGATCAGTGATCAAGGTTAAAGTTACGTGATTAGGTCCGTTTCTCAGATACTACAAGCAGTAGGTCAGCTATATGTGGTGTATGGAATGATTATAAGGGATACATGTCAGTCTGGCAGGTTTCATCTGACCTTGACCTCATTTTCACGGTTCATTGGTCAATGTTAAGTTTTTGTGTTTTGGTCTGTTTTTCTAATACTATAAGCAATAGGTCAACTATATTTGGTGTATGGAATGATTGTAAGGTGTACATGTCTGACTGGCAGGTGTCATTTGTCCTTGACCTCATTTTCATGGTTCATTGGTCAATGTTAAGTTTTTGTGTTTTGGTCTGTTTTTCTAATACTATAAGCAATAGGTCAACTATATTTGGTGTATGGAATGATTGTAAGGTGTACATATCTGTCTGGCAGGTGTCATTTGTCCTTGACCTCATTTTCATGGTTCATTGGTCAATGTTAAGTTGCTCTTGTTTGGTCCTCTTCTCAGATACTATAAGTTATAGGTCAACTATATGTGGTGTATGGAATGATTGTAAGGTGTGCACATCTGTCTGGCAGGTTTCATCTGACCTTGAGCTTATTTTCATGGTTCATTGGTCAATGTTAAGTTTCTGTTGTTTGGTCTTCTTCTCGGATGCTATAAGTAATAGGTCAACTATATTTGGTGTATGGAATGTATTTTATTATTTAACTGCTGATTACTTACATTGAAATAGATTATTTTATAAAAATCTTTAAATAACATTAATAATGATAATAAATAATAAAAACTTTTAAGGGATCATTACTAAACCGTGATTAACAAAAACATTGGAAGATGTGAAAATGTTAAAATAAGGTCACTCATGCATGAATGTTTAACATAGAATACAGTTCACTCCAGTCCCTTCATAAAGATTAATTGGCTGAATATGTACAGATTGAAGAACTTTTGAAATTTTGTTTGCACAACAGAATCACATTTACTGATTTTTGATACATATGAAATAAGATAAGTATTGAGATAAGTAAAAAATATTTTAGCATAGCAACATAAATAGATAAATAGATAATATGAAAATATGACTTTTTACAATATTTTGATCAAAGATTGAAGATAATTTTAGTTTTTTTTTTTTTTTTTTTGGGGTGGGGGGGTCTTTCAGGTTCATCTCAAGGAATTGACAAATATTTATCCAGTTTCTGCAATGCCTTAAAACTTTTCCTTGTGCACAGGTTTGTCTGTACTCAAGAGGAAATAAAAAAAAAATGCTTATATAAACTTATTTTTTTTATTTTCAACATAAATTCAATTATGAACACTAAAACAGGCGAGACATTTCAGTGTGTCCACTCTTGTTATAAATTTTGAATTTGACGTTTCTGAGTTCTGGGTTTTATTCATTACAAAAAGGGGGATTTTCCAGTTTTCGGACAATAACTCAAAAATGCTTTCACCAATTTGCAAGAAACTTTGTGAATTGCCTATATATATGGACATGAGCTCCCTTTTGATTTTTTATAAATTCTAGATTTTACGTTTCTGAGTTATTGGGTTTTATTCATTAAAAAAAGGGGGATTTTCCAGTTTTGAACATGACTCAAAAATGCTTTGAGCAGTTTTCATGAAACTTTGGTGAATTGTTTATATCTATTGACGTAAGCTCACTTTCGATTATTATAAATTTTAGATTTGACGTTTCAGATTTATGTGATTTTATTCATAAAAAAGGGGTGATTTTCCAGTTTTCGGACAATGCTTTGAGCAGTTATCATGAGACTTTGGTGACTGGTTTATATCTATTAAGATAACCTCCCTTTAGTTTTTCATGAATTTCTGATATGACATTGAGAAGTTATTGAACTCTATTCTTTGAAAAAGCAACAGGCGTATAATGGGCTCATGGCACAGCTGTTTATTCTCTATTATTCAACAATTGCACACAAAAATTTCTGAATTTACAGCAACTTCCTGTCTGATATTGAAGTAGAGTGAATATTGGCATTCAATGGAAGAGATATTTGGAAAAATTATTTTCCATGGAGTTGAATTCCATATACTTCACTGCAGGTGCAAAAAATCACCAAAACAAAATCAGCAATACATATACGGGGAAGAACAGTAACAAATCTGATTCATACTAGAAATTTTTGCACCAAAAATATTTTGAGGGAATAAAAAACTGTATTAACAAATGTTAGATGCAGTTCCAGATATGAGAAAGCTTACTAGTATTTAAGATGATTATGCATATAATACTCTTATAGAAATCTAGTTCTAATCAGGGAATACTGCTGTCAGTTGTTGTCTTTTTTCTTGAGTTCATATGAAAGTTGTGTAAATAGGAATAAGAATTGTATGATAAGGATTGGGGTCATATAAATTTATAGTATGGTTATCATACTCAGATTCATAATTCAACCATTTGGTGTTTTGAGCACAAATTTGAGTACTGAGTAAAGTTTTATGAATCCCATATCTGAATCTTATGTTGTCAAAAGAAAATAGTACAAACAATTCCATATATTCATACATTTATTCATACACTTGTATTGTTTTACTTTTTCAGTTGTTACTGCTCCACTTTAAAGCTGATGTAATGTTGACAGACGGAGTTGGGAACACACCACTTCATCTGTGTGTTGATAATGGCCATGAAGATGTACGTATTATAATTCAATTTGTTTTCTACTACAGTATAATTGATTTTGACTGAAATGGAGGTCAATAATTGTTTCAATTTGCTTTTTATTTGGGTTACTTCAACCATTTACTATAGGCATATTAAATTACAGGACCATTTTCTGAATAGATTTACTGGAGGTATGCCCATCATGATTAGGGGTTAAGTTATATTCATAAGTTGGACTGTTTTTCCTTATTTTTTTATGCCCCTGCTGTCACCAGAGTGTTACCATTGTCCGTCCGTACATCCGTCCAGAAATTGGTTTCCGTTCTCTAACTTTAGTTTGCCTCAACCAAATGTTATGAAACTTATACACAGTGCTTATTACCACAAAACACAGATCAAGTTGGAATTTGGGTGGCATCACTTTTTACTGTTCTTGAGTTATGCCCCTTTATAACTTTATATGTAAGCAGGGGCATCATCTTTGTCCCATGGACACATTCTCCATGTATTATGGTTTAGTTTGAAACAACTCTTCATATGATATAGAATTGACCATTTGTTAGAAAAATTGTTCAACTTTGACATGACTACTTTTAAGTGTGAAAATATTTTAATGCTTTTTATGTCTCTTCTTTCAGTGTGTAAAAGGTTTAGTTTTTTCTGATATATCAAGAATAAAGTTAGATATCAGTGCACAGAACGAGAGAGGAGATACACCTCTTCACTTAGCAGCAAAATGGGGCTATGGTAAGTCATAAAATGATTTAGTTCACAAAACGAGAGAGTAAATGCCTCTTCACTTGCAGCTAAATAGGACGATGATAAGTTAACCAATTGTTCCAATTTACCTAGATTTCACAGATGATTCAGTATTAATATTCATTAGAGTTCATTTGAATGTTATTTGCCATTGATTGGAACTAGAACTTTAAATGCAGATGAGGTATAATTGTATCTCAGTCATAAATATCAAAGTACTTGTCTTAGGTTTTTAGTGCAGAATTCCATTTTGATTTACTGCAGTAGTTTATTTTCCCAGAGTTCAAATTTCTTGAATGCAAAGTCCAAACCAGTGTGGAAAGTTTATTTTCATGTTGATTCTTATCTTCCTTTAAGATCATGTGAAGGGATATTTTTGCTATTTTTTCTTTATTGCAAAATTAGCCAAAAAAAAAGCCTTCATGAACATTTTTCAATTTTACAGAAAGTGATTTAAGTTAACACTTGGTTTGACAGGAAAATTAAAAAAGAAGAGATATTTTCTTAATATAATCAATGTTACAAACAGAAAAATATACTAGACAAAAGTCATGGAAAGCCAGACGTAGGGATTGCTTTTCCGGCGATGGCTGCGGCCACAGCTGTCACTGCTGCGAAGGCATCAACAATTGTTAAGTTTTCTGCTTAAGTTAGTTTGATAGGAACTACTTGTGATAGATCATGGATAGTTAATATAAAGTTGCATTACTATCAGTTCATATCAGTTTGACGACTATTTTGAGGCCCTGCCCCCTAGGTCATTGTCCAGTGACATGAAATTAATTAGCAATTTTCAATGTTAAGTTTTCTGCTTAAGTTTGTTCGATAGGATCTACTTGTGATAACTTAATGATATTTTGTATGAAGTTGCATTACCATCAGTACATATCATACGACTATTTTGAGGCACCACCCCCTTGGACATGGTCCAGCCACTTTCAATTAATAAGCATTTTTTAATATTAAGTTTTCTGCTTAAGTTAGTTTGATAGGATCTACTTGTGATAGATCAATGATATTTTGTATAAAGTTACATTACTATCAGTATGATGACTATTTTGAGGCCCTGTCCACTAGATCATGGTCCAGCGACTGATTAATAAGCAATGTTGCTGTCCATCAGATTGTCTTTTTTTAAATTTTATGCCAACAGAAGAGACATATCTCTGTGTCAGCAGTTTATTTTTTTTACCACACATATTTTTGTTCAATAACACATTTATGAATAAAAAGAGATTTGAAAATCAAAGAAAACCATGTCTATATGTCTGTGGTAGAGGCCTACTACAATTTTCTGAATATGAACAGCAATTTAAGTGTCCTTTTTTTATAAATCATTGATTAATGAATTAATTGGTGTTTAGAGCCACTTTCAGCACTGTTGGCTATTTCGTGGCAGCCAATTTTTATTGATGGAGGAAGACGGAGCCCCCGGATAGAACAAAACTGACAGTCCTAGTCAATTAAGATTGGAATCAAATGCACCTGCCATGTGTGGGACATCAATGTTGAAAGGCTAGTGATACAGTAGTTGGACTGCTTAAACCACTCGGCCACCAAGGCTCTTTTTTCATATATGATGCTTTCTTAGTGCTTCATATGATTATGTCCCATGTACTTTCAAGCAGTTGTTCCTTGTCTTTCAAATGATATATTAACTTTCTATATTAACTTTCATATAAGTTCCTATGAGCTCGACCCATGCAACAGAACTGCTCAGTGAGTCCTTATGTTATTGTTTGTCAGTAAATGGATGTAGCAAGAATAGTGGAAATATTTATTTAATAAGTTACTTGCATTTGCAAGCTTGTTCAAATTAATATAATGAAAAAATATTTACAAATATTTCCTTATGTTCTTGGTTTCAAGCAAAATATGATTCCCAGTTTATTTCCTATTTTCTATACAGGTACGATTGTGAACACATTACTAGAGAATGGTGCTGATGTTACTATCAAGAACAGAAAGAAACAGACGGCATTAAGTCTGGCACAGAACAAAAACGTTGTACAGATATTTACTGACTTTAAAATGCGTCCAAAGATAGACATGTCTAGATCATATTCACAAGTAAGTCTACATTAAATTTATTCTTTTTTATTGTGGCATCTATTTTTTTCCTCATCTTGGAAATGTATATTAAATGCTTTGATGCATTTGAAAAAGATGAATACACTGATAAGCATAGAATGTATTGTTTATGAATATGAAAGACATGAGGTTTAACATCTTGATTTTAAGTTGTGAGTTAACCTTACATTGAATCCAACAACATGTGATGATGTAATGAGTTAACCTTACATTGAATCCAACAACATGTGATGATGTAAGGGGCCTATTCTAGTAATCTGAGAAAAAAATAAAATAAAGGGTACAATAAAGTACATATACATAATACATAATAATATTGATTAATTATGTTTAATTCAAAATAATCTAAAATTGTATGTGTTTTGCATCTCCTAACTTTTTATTATTATAGAGTCATGTTATTGCTTTTTTATGTCCCACCTACGATAGTAGTAAGGGCATTATGTTTTCTGGTCTGTGTGTCCGTTCATTCGTCCGTCCGTTCAGGTTAAAGTCTTTGGTCAAGGTAGTTTTTGATGAAGTTGAAGTCCAATCAACTTGAAACTTAGTACACATGTTCCCTATGATATGATCTTTCTAATTTTAATGCCAAATTAGAGTTTTGACCCCAATTTCACCGTCCACTGAACATTGAAAATGATAGCGTGAGTGGGGCATCTGTGTACTATGGACACATTCTTGTTATAGTTTTAAAAAATGTTTAACTTAAAAGTAAACAACCTCCCAAACCTGCCTGACAAGCAAAGCTGATGATCTTAAATGGTTTAAATCTTGATTCCTCCCCTCACCAATTATTTCATATTTCTTTTGCCTTCCAAACATACTTTAAGTGTATCCGATGAAGATAAGTATCGATAAGCACTTTAGCAATAAATAGCATGCAGTGTCTGTCATTTTTGTCTTGCCTTTCGTCATGTAGTATTTGTCACAGAATGTGAGACGCCATCTATGATACACACAGAAAGACTTCCATCAGACAAAAATTACTTGAAGAGTTATAATAAAAACACAACTAACATGATATCAACAAAAGTAAATTTATAACCACACAAGAATAAACTGATTTTATGTGGTAGAAAAAATAGTTCTTACAAAATTGTGAGCACTGGAGAAATTGTCTAATATTCCTAAATTGACTTTTTACACTTTTACTACAGTCAGATTTAGACTACAGTTATGTAAAAGTAGTGAAACATGACCATGAAATCAAGCCCCGTGCAGAATCAGTATCTTTACCGAATACACCTATGGTGGAATCTCTAGACCTGATGGAGGAGAGACAGATAGCTTTGTTATACAAGGCCATTGAAGATAATGATATTACCCTGGTGAGTACAAAATGTTATTCATACAATGATTACCTCAGACTTAAGTAATCAAGTGCTAGCTAATGTTTAAGCCGTTTCAAATCATAATGAATTATGGGTAGTTGGATTGTTTGTACACTAAAATAAAAATAAAATCTGTCATTATTGGATATTAACTGTTTTGGACATTGTTGACCATTAATTTTTTTGGTGTACGCTGTCAATATGAAATGATGATTTGATAAAACTGTCACAGGATTAACTGATTTGATTCAATAAATATAAATGTAAAAATAATTTCTAAATGAGATATTTTTTAAGGATAGAATGATCTGACTTATTTTTTAGGTACAGTACCACTTGGGATGGACCAGTTTGGACAGTGAAGAAACGGAACCTATCTCACCAAACTCCCTGGAAATGTGCCATCCTTTGTGTCAATGTAAAAAATGTACTCAAGTTCAAAAGGTCAGTTAATGGATATTGAAAAATTATCACAACAATCACATGAGACAAACAAAAATTACAAGTACTTATGAAAAAGTAATGCAATTAGCACAATAATTGTTGAGAGAAATGTCAAAACTGTAGAACTAAAGCAAGAAAATACACAGTTTTTATCTGTTTTTTAAAGCTATAGTAAAAAGAGGAAATTACCAATCGTCATAAACATTTTTGTCTAGCTACCACAAAGTTGAAAAAGCAAGACTTAGGCTTGCTGTTTCCAGCTGCAGCATCAACAATGTTTTAGTTTGTGATTAGGTCAGTTTATGGGGAACCACCTGTGGTAGGTCCATCATATTTGGTATGAATTTGTTTTAGCATTGGCACATTTCATTTCCATGGAGATTATTTGGCCCCGCTCCCTCAGTCATGGTCTATTGACTTTTGCTTAGTTGTTACATGATTGAAATATGTATAAACTATGTATGTTACTGACATTTTCTAAATTTAGGCATTTTGTAAAATGACTGAATTTTCAGGCAAATTATACAATGCCTAACCTTGAGAGACAATATATAAAATGACTAAAAATACCTAGCCATTTTGTAAAATGACTGAAATTTTTAAACAAAATTCAAATACCAGTTGCCTGTTCAGTTTTAGATAATTTGTCATTGAGATTCATATGACTAAACACAATATCTGGCAAAGAAGATAACTAATGCTTCTGTAAAATTATATTTATCTTCACATACCAGCTAGGAAAGTTTATATGTCTATAAGGTATCTGGATGATTCGTTCCAACTCCGATTCGTACCAACCAATTCGTCCCAAGTTGCTTGGTCAGTTCATTCCAACTTTTTTAAGAACAGTATAAAACAATATTAACCATTTAAATAGCCTTATTATTTTAATTTTTAATGCTGTATTTATATAAAATGTATATAAATAGTTATCTAACAAAATTTCTATGGTATATTAATTGGGAAGAAAGATATATTGGGAATGATATCAGGTTAGTATTTCATGACAATTTAATATTTTAAATATGAATAAAGTACTAACTAGTGTTATTTTCAAGGAAATTGTTATCATTATAATTGATTATTGTATTTCAATGATGTGCACATAATAGTTGTTTATGCATTCATCAAAAGAATAATGCCGTACTTAGCTTGGGTCAAAGCTTGGGTCATAAATGCTTGTAAATAATAATTGAAGCCATACCACACTTACTATGTTTTTCTTACGTGCATCGTAATTGCCGATTTTTGCCGTACACTGTAGGTTGATTTACACAAACCCAGTGATATACGGACATATACATTAAAAAAAAAGTTGGAACAAATTGTTAAGTCTGATTAATAATGAACTAAATTAGTTGGAACGAATTGACCATTGACTTGGTACGAATTGACAATTGACTTGGTACGAATTGTCCAAATCTGGAACGAACTGGCTTGGAACGAATCGGACTTGGAACGAATTGACTAGCATTCGTCTATAAAAGGTTGTTTTTAGAAAAAACAAATTTAAGTTTGTACTCACTCTGTATTTCAGATAGTAATTTTGTGAACTTCTTGTTATGACAGAAAGACAAATTTAAAATATTCTTACAATAGAACAAAATTTACAAAACAATTTTTAGAAAATCTATTCTTGGGTCTTTACAATTTGATGAATTAGGGGGACAGAAGTTTACAGATTTTAAAGTCTCAAAAATTGATCAAGAAGAGACAAATCAAGGTGTGTCAACAGGATAAGTGTCTCCTGCTTTGTATTAATCACATGCCATGAGAAGATCCGATTCAGACTGTCAAATGTTCATATAAACCTAACGATGTAAGTCAACCTGATCATGCTTATGTTACTTTGAATCTTTTGGGAACATAAGGAAAAGAAGATATTCATGTATGTGCTGTTTCGAAACCCCATGTTTTTTGTTCATTAAGTGTTATAACAGAAAAAATATTGACAGAGCTGAATGTGTCATGGTCAGGGTTTCACCAAACAGGGTTGTAGTGCTAACACCAGATTTAAAGCTAATAATGTAATTGCAAAAAGGTCATGACAAATGTGTAAGAGAACCTGTCATCCAAACATTTTATGAAACAACAAATAATTGTCGAGTTCAGTGCTTATGGGAATTTAAATATTTCAGTTGAATTTATTTTTAACTACCGCTATTTAGTCTCTTAAAGCCTTAAAACTCAGTAATTATCAAACAATTTCAGCCATTTTGTAAAATGCCTTTAATTTTTTTAGGCATTTTGTAACAGTCCTGAAAAAATTGTTGTTATATAAAATGCCTGAATCTTACAGGCATTTTAGAAAATGCCTAGAGTTTTCAGGCATTTTACAAAATGCCTAAATTTAGAAAATGTCTGTTTTGTTTTCACCCGTTTACTGTTGGTTCATTATTATTTCAAGGGATACCAATTTTTGTGGATTTTGTGGATATAGTTCTACGAAGTACAAATTTACTGTAGGTTTGTGTGCTGATTTTGGCAAAAACCATGAAATCAAATATCCACACAAGTTTTCTTCAATCCACGAAATTGGTATCCATGAAAATAAATGAATCTACAGTAACTCATTGATACAAAGTTCCTTAAAAAGTTCTCCATGTTTTTTAATTTTCTTTGTAGATCTCAGGTATTGGTAAGAATGGTTTGCATGTCAGGATCAAAGATAAAAAAGGATATACACCTCTTCACAGAGCTGTTCTTGCCAACAGTTTATCTCTAGTCCATTTATTTGTAACCAAAGGTGCCAAGATTAACGATGTTACAGCCAAGTCTATTACACCCCTACACTTAGCTTGTTACCTAGGCTTTACTGATGTAAGTATATTTATAGCTTTTTGTATCAGCCATCTGTGATGATATCAATGTCAGCCATGGTTTCATGGTTTTTATCAAACCCCAAAAGAAAAACTAATGTTTTTATACGATCCCAAAAAATTTTGTGGTCGTATATTGGTATCACATCGTTGTCGTCTGAAGACATTTGGTTTCCGGAAAATAACTTTAGTATATGTAAATAGAAATCTATGACATTTAAACACAAGGTTTATAACCACAATAGGAAGGTTGGGATTGATTTTGGGGGTTATGGTCCTAACAGTTTAGGAATTAGGGGCCAAAAAGGGGCCCAAATAAGCATTTTTCTAGTTTCCAGACAATAACTTGTGGAAAGGTGTATGGATCTCTCTGAAATTAGACCACAAGTTTCCATACCACAAAGGGATGGTTAGGATTGGCTTTGGGGGGTTATGGCTCAAACCGTTTAGGAATAAGGGGCAAAAAGGGGGAAAACAGGGGTTTCCTGGTTAATGGACAATTACTTAAAAGTACAATGTTATGTTTGGATTACCTCCCTTACACTGCTTTTAAATTATGTATAAAGAAATGTTGTATTGTCTTGAGGTGATTAGCTGTCAATTTATTTTTAGAAGTTACTATTAAAAATGCTGATTAAGGAATATTAATTTTAGCCATGATTATGTATGTCATTTTCTATTTTTAGACTTTTATGATGTATTTAAATGGGTAATTATGGTTGCAAACTCCATTGGAAATTTGAATTGAGATTATGACCATATCTTGAGGGAAACATTTTTTTTTTTTGAAAAAGGGGGTGGGGGGGGGGGGGGGGGGGGGGAGGTGAAAATAATTGTGGGGAGACAATTTTTTCTTATTTCAGATTTCAGAAATAATTAAAAAGAAAATTTCTTCAAATATTTTTTTTTTTGCAAAAAAAGGGGAGGGGGGGAATTTTATTTTGAGAGGGGTCAATTCGCAACATCATAGTGTATTGCACAAAAGCAAAAAAAAAAGAGAAAAAGGGGGGTAAAAAAAAATTTTTTGGGGGGGGGGGGGGGGGGCAATTCGCAACAGCATAGTGTATTGTGCAAAAGCAAAAAATTGAATATAAATTCAAATCATATAACCAATTCTAAGTTCTTTGACTACAGTTATTCTGTGTCAGAAACCTATTATGTGTCAAATATTTAATTACAATCCAAATTCAGACCTGTATCAAGCTTGAATATTGTGTCCATTTTTGCCCCAACTGTTCAGGGTTGGACCTCGGCGGTCATATCCAGCTGCGCTCGGCGAAGCAATTTATTAGTGTTTAATAAAGCATCTATGATATGTGTTTTTCAATACACACACCATGTCAAACACCAACCAATGTAATCTGTCGAGTAGAGCTCTCATGATTATAGTGTCCCTGGTTGAAATGGGTATTCTCTATTACATCACTACAATTAGCTTGCTACCTGGCCTAAATTGATGTTAGTATAACCATTATATATTTACCTTAAGGGATTTCAGATGACAGGGCCAGTTCTTAGAGGTAAATTTTTTTTTTAGTTGAAATATACTTAGTGCTCTCCTCATAAATTTAATGTAGCAACCTACTAAACAGGGAATTTGAAATACCATCTCATGTCCACATATCCATAACTCAGTCTTTAAAAAGATAAATTCAGATATTCTCACATTCTAGCAATATAGCATCACATTACCATGATGCTAAATGGCCCTCGGTAGAACACTGATATACAAATTTAAAAATTCTTGCTAGTATGTAAAAAAAATATTAACCAAGATAAATTCCATAAGGGTAAGTCCATAAAAACTGATGAAAGGGATAGCTAGTTCTATAGGCTAAAATTTACATTTGTTTAAATACAATTCTGGCATGGATTTCTTGATTCAGTCAAGGACCATGTTCAGAGGGACAGGTTAAGAGAAGTTTCACTTTATTTGTATATTGAAAAAATTATAATGTCTTAAACTTATGATTTTTTTGGGTCCAAAATATTGATTGAATTAACCATTATGATGTCATTCGTAATTGTTTGTGATATAGTTAGGTCAGATTTTGCATTCTCACAAACCATTTTAATGATAAAATGGAATTGTTTTACATTTGTCATGTGATGGCCTTTTATAGCTTGCTATACAATATGGGTTTTACTCATTGTTGAAGGCCATACAGTGACCTATAGTTGCAAACCTTCTTCATCATTTGATCTCTGGTGAAGAGTTGTCTCATTTGAAATCATACCACATCTATTTATTTTTATATTATAAGTAATTGTTTTTCTTATTTTGAATTTTGTATTTTTTTTTTTAAAGATAGTCTTTCATACAAAATGAGTAGTATAGATAATTGTGTTTTATCAAAAATTTTGTAGTATATTTTGTTTAACTTTCAGATAGCAAACTATCTAGTTGGAAATGGAGCTTTTGTTAATGTTAAAGACAGCATGCTGGACACGCCACTCCATCTTTGTTGTTACAAGGGCTTTAATGAAATAGTTGATATGTTAATTCAGGTAAAAAATCTTATCAGCAATAATAATCTACAGCATTTATTAGCACAACCTTCTATCTTTATTGTCAAGAATGTTATTTAGATATAAAAGCTAAATATTTAATAAAGTTATTAAGAGTCACAATTTTACAGTTTTTATGAGTTACCGTTTAAAAGGCTTGTATAGTCCGCGGTTTTATTCTCCAAAATTGAACCTGCCAGACAGGGGTGCGGACTATAGAGTACAATAAGCAAGAAATAAGCGAACAAATTCAATTTCGAGAGGTGGTTTGTTTACGTTCCACCATGTTTGTTATTGATATTGTAGAGGGTGCTCTTATCATTTTTCAAACTAATAACTTTATCTAATCCATATTAATAAGTTATTTTTATTCAATATCATATTAATACTGATAAATTTAAAAATTAAGTACAAATTTCTCGTTTCTTTTAATGCATTGCTAAAAATAAACTGGTATCTGCTTGAATGAAACGGTACAAAAAAAAGTAAAAATACAACAGTAAACCAGCTTACGATATGTAAATTACAAAACATAATCGGGTATTATTGGTTCTGTTTTGGTGTTTCATACTGACAAAAATGTTTTGTATTAGCTAATGACCCTTCAAACATTAATGTAATAGATATATTAAACACTGTTTAACATAAGGATGAAACTGTTTTATTTTCAAAGATTATTATAGTATGATCTATTATGTACGGATTTCGACTCTCGTCGTTCTTCTTTCTTCTTTTACATGTGCTTTTCAAACTTCCGGTTTAATACACAAGTTTCTAAATATTTTTTGTCTGCAAACGACCACACACGATATGAAATTACCAGAGTTTCATTAGACTTTTTCTAACAGTTACAAAAAGTTTTTTTTACCTGAAATTTCGTGGGGAGAAGGGGGTGCAGACTATGTACCAGTGCGAACTATACAAGCCCGATTACGGTACAATTTTAACCATGTTTACCAATTTTTTGCAAGTGACCAGTTCTATGTTTATTTGAAAAATGTTCATCAAGATGTCAGGTGTGGATATCAAATTGATCAGAAATACCTTGAGTAAATTTAAGTTCAAGTCGCCTTAAGGCAAAATTATTTGTAAACGGCCATCTTGGATTGTAAAATAGCAGTACGCAATCGGTCTAGTTCTTTGCTAAAATCTGCAAATTTTGGGACAGATTGGCAATTAATGTGTAAGACTGTTTATTTAGATAAAGAAACATTAGTGATTTCTTGTATTATTTTCAACTCTTGTAATAAATACCAATTATTTGTGTTTGTTTGATTAAATTTTTCAATTTAGCCATATAAGGGGAGATAACTCTTATAGTAAAAATTTTATACTGGAATGTTAATGAAATTTTCATTTTTTACTTTTAGCAAAATAACAAGTTCGGTGACACTATTTTTGTTTTATTTTCTTAAAGCATATTGTAAAACCTATCTTCTCATATTTCATTTCAAAATTCTTTTTCATAGATTTCTTTTTATTCACCAAAAAGTGTTTTTTCATTTAAAGCTATGCAAAATTGATTTTTGCATGACTTGTAGCTTGAAAAATAGCACTGTCACCCATACTTTTTATTATATTTTTGAAAAAAGCATGGCAAAGCTACATTTTGGCAAAGTATAATAAAATTCTATTTGAGGAAATATATATATTGATACACCTTTAGCAAGCTGTTTCACCAAAGCATGATTTCAATACTTTAAAATATGTTAAAATAGCTATAGATAGAATAAGTATTTATCTGACACTTGCAAAAATTGTATGAGTTGTGGTGTAAGTTTTTATGTAATGAAAGGTTTATAGCAAAAATGCCTGAATTTTCATAAATTTGTGGAACAGGTCAGTTCAATTGAAATTTTATCAAAACTATTTAAAAAAAATTGTTATTTGTTGAAATCAACACTGCTCACACGAAACAGCTAAAGTCAGATTGGCTAACATAAAATTTGCCTGACTTCTGCCTGAGAATGGTTTTTCAACTAAATTCAGATTTTTTCGAGATTGAAAGAATTAAAATGTTTTGTTTGTCTTCAATTTAGAATCATGTAATGATAAATCCAGTCAATAAACAAGGTGATCTACCACTGCATATAGCTGTTAAAACACAAAACCTAGACACTGTCAGGAAACTCTTAAAGGCTGGAGCTCTTGTAAACATCAAAAATAAAGATGGTGGAATTCCATTATTTTATACCAAGGTAAGAACAGTTACAGCAAATTGTCAAAATCCTGGATAACCCTTTTATTTGAAAATGTCACATTGGGTCAAGTTGTAGGGTTAGAAAATTTACATAATCCAGTGATTTATGGATTTAGGGATGTCATTGGGTTAGACAAGTAGGTCACAATAAGAGCTGGATCATACGACCAACATAGTGAAACGAGGGGAACATCTGTTAAGCAATTATTGATGATGGTTACTCAGATATTCAAACAAATTCAACCAATAAAGCATCACATTACTATGTTCTAAAAAGGCCCTGAGGAAAACACTGATTACCGTACTTGTCAATAAAATCATTTTATTAAAAAGTTTCAGTAGTGCATGCATGGTATATTTATTCGAAATTTATTCGGCTGCTCTACTTCAAAACTTTGATCAAAGGGAAATAACTGAAATGAAAATACACATATATTGCCTTTATATTCTTCTTTAAATAACACAATGCAATTTTTGTCCCCCACCACAATGGAGAAGGAGGTACATAGAAATTCCAGGTGTCCAAGCATCCCTCCATCTGTCTGTTTGTCTGGTTTGGTAAGCCATGCCTCTATTTCAATTTCTTGATGGATCTTTATGAAATTTATATCAAAGGTTTATATCAGCATGTCTCATACGACTTTGATTATCAGTGCCAATCAAATTTATGGGAGTTATTGTCCTTGGAAATGTACTTTTAATAAGAAGTTACATTTTAAGCACTCTGGCACTTACTTTGCATGAGCGATCTATGTGACATTTATATAAAAGGTTTATATCAGCAATGTCTCTGATGAGTTTGATTATCAATGCCAATAAAATTTAATTAGTTTCTGAGATCTTTTCCCTTTTGTTCTTACTCAGTGGAATAGACAAAAAATTCAGTACAAGAAAACCACTTCACTCTTAAATGATGGTATGATATAACAATAAAATGCTCCACTGGGCGCAGCTTGATACCCTGAACAGTTGGGGCAAGTATGGACACAACATTCAAGCTTGATACAGCACTGAATTTGGATTGTGATTAAATATTTGACATAGCATAGGTTTCTGACACAGAATGAATGTGGTCTAAGAACTTAAAAAATTTTAATTTACCTATTCAAACCATATCATTATTATTTGCTTTTATATATAAATCAGAAATAACCAATTCAAAATATAAAATTTTAAAGGAAAAAAAAGGAAAAAAAGGAAAAAAAAATCCCCCCCCCCAAATTTTTTGAACCCCCTTATGATTCATCACACCCAAACTCAATCCCAGCTTTCCCTTTCTGGTATTGTACCTTGCAGTACAATTTCAGAGAGATCCATACAATTGAACACAAGTTATTGTCTGGAAACTAGAAAAATGCTTGTTTTTTTGGCCCCTTTTTGGCCCCAAATTCCTAAACGTTTAGGGCAATTACCCCCAAACTCAAACCCAGCTTTCCCTTTGTGATATGGAACCTTGTAGTACAATTTCAGAAAGATCCATACACTTACACACAAGTTATTGTCCTGAAACTAGAAAAATGCTTGTTTTTTGCCCCTTTTTGGCCCCTAATTCCTAAAATTTTGAGGCAATTACCCCCAAAATCAATCCCAGCCTTCCCTTTATGGTATGGTACCTTGTAGTACAATTTCAGAGAGATCCATACACTTGAACACAAGTTATTATCTGGAAACTAGAAAAATGCTTATTTTTTGCCCCTTTTTGGCCCCTTTTTCCTAAACGTTTTGGGCAATTACCCCCAAACTCAATTCCAGCTTTTCTATTGTGATATGGAATCTTGTAGTACAATTTCAGAAAGATCCATACACTTACACACAAGTTATTGTCATGAAACTAGAAAAATGCTTGTTTTTTGCCCCTTTTTTGGCCCCTAATTCCTACAATTTGGAGGCAGTTACCCCCAAAATCAATCCAAGCATTCCCTTTGCATGCTTTGTGATATGAAAACTTGTGGTACAATGTCAGAGAGATCCATACACTAACACACAAGTTATGTCTGGAAGTTACAAAAATGCTTATTTTTGGCCCCTAGTTCCTTAACTGTTTGTACCATAACCCCCAAAATCAATCCCAACCTTCCTTTTGTGGTATTGAACCTTATGGTAAAATTTCATAGAGATCCATTCACTTAAACTAAAGTTAGAGTGCGAAAACCAATGTGTCTTCGGACGCAGACGCCGACGTCATACCAATATACGACCGCAAAATTTTTTGCGGTCGTAGAAAAAACAAACTATTAACAAAACAATAATAAACATTCTCCTATGGTTGCGGTCTGTTATCTTTTTCTTGCATGAATAGATATTTCTCATATCACACTGTAGGGAATGTGGTAAAAAAAAAGTGATAAAAAATTGCATTAATTTGATTGGATTATTCAATATCATAAAACAATATTACAACTTTTCCATTGGCTATTTCGTTAGGTCATTGATGACTTTCTTTATGTTAAAATGATGTACATTTCCTATATGGCAATAGAGATATGTGATTTCTTCCCATTCTATACAAAACACTCAAAGTTTTCACTTGAAAATCTTGTTTCTGTCAAATTTTATTACATACTGAAGCGACAAATAGTTCAAGATAAAATTAAATTGATCTCTTGCATGAGAATTAGCTTACTTGTGAATGGTTTTGTGTATAAACTTCAAGTATACAACAGAGTACATGTCACAGAATGATAACAACTACTGAGTTATCTTGCTTTGTAATTGTCATTTCTAAAATAATGCTTCCTTACTAGTCCCTGATGATGAATTTGACATTATCAGTCCCTGATGATACATTTGACATTATCAATGCTTACGTTTTGATTAAGGTAATGGGTTCCTTCATGAACTTTTAATTCCATTAAATTAACTTTGATTTGAAATGAGGATCTTTATCATTCTTTAATGAGGTTTTGACAGTTGATATCTTCAAGTTTTGAATGCAGCATTTCAAAGTAGACTTAATCTTCTTATATCTATTAATTGAAATCGCCACTGTCTCAAAAGTACAATTATTTGTGACAGAATTAGATTCTCCTAATAGACGTTAAGAATTTACAACCACACTTTAACTTTATAGAAATTTGTGATCCTGCATACATGGATATCCTTATTGGTATAAAATGTAGGTAAATTGTAAAATCAGTCTAATACCACTGCTCACTCAGATAGAATCTTTGAACATTAATGGATTCATTGTAGAAAATTTACATGTGACCTGATCATGTGTTAGGTAAATGTGTGTCTAAATCTTTATGGTAAGCTTTGGTAGCTGAGTGGTCAGAATTTTTCAACTATTGTATCACTAGCCTGTCAACACTGAGGTTGTGTATTGGAATCTTTATTGACTAGGATTGTCAGTTTTCCTGCCAAAGGCTGGTGGTTTTCTCTGGGCACTCTGGCTTCCACAAACAATAAAAACTGCTGCCATGATATAGGCAATAATGCTGAAGTGGCCTTAAACACCAAACAATCAATAAATCAAGCTAAATCCCTACAAATGTGGTTTCGAATGCATAACATATTTATAAATGTTTTGAGTCATTTACCAAATTTTCTATCTTACTTTTAATCATTGTTAAAAAAATGTTCAATTGAAAATTGACATAATGTTATTAATGTAATTAACAACCAAATGAAGATAAAACCAAAAGTTTTTTTGAAATAACTGATTTAAAGAAATAAAAAAGAAATATTTATATTAGATTATCTACCTTTGTTTATGAAATTTCTGTTCCGGTGGAGGACAAGTTCCCAATGGTTAACAGTTATTGTCTCCTGACATTATACGAATAACCAATGCTTTGCATAGATATCATCATACTGCTCTATTGACAAATGTTTTTATTTCATTTGTAGAAAAAATGTTTTATAGGATTAAGACAGGGAAAGCTGAGTTGTTCTGTATTTTTTTAAAAGACATAGTTGGAAGATTCACCTTGGGGACATGATGTCATTGCATCATGACATCCTTGTAGTTAGAAAAGTAATCGTTTTCAAATTGAACAAAATCACAGCTTGTTTTTTAATTCAAGTTTCTTGCATGGAATTAAAAAATTAAATTTCAAAGTAATCTATCCTCCTGCATTTCTAACATATATGCAACTTAGTCTGCCATTACTTAAAATCACATAAGTTCCCCTAAACTTTTGTATCACAGTTAAATAAAGTTGACATCATAATTAAAAAGTAATTGTTGCACGACATTGGTTCATGTCTGTCTTATTTATTTTTCGTTAATTGTTTTGTTATGAATTAGGCCGTTAGTTTTCTCAATTGAATTGTTTCATATTTTTCATGTCGGGGCCTTTCATGGCTGACTATACAGTATTGGTTTTTCTCATTGAAGGCCATGCAGTTGTCTCTAATTGCTTACATCCACTGCATTTGAACTTGGGTTGATAGTTGTCTCATTGGCAATCATACCACATCTCCTTATTTTTATATCAGAAGTTTAATCGTAGCAAGATCTAGGGTCAATCGGAGACAATTCAGCCAAAAGTGTAAGTACTTATTTAGGGCCAAAAATAGAAGTTAAATTGTTTAATGTTGACTACCTACCCGCCTAAAATGCTAAAAGGCAGCCTACCCGAAAAATTTTATGACACAAATTTTTTTTAATGATTTTTTTTGCTCTTTTGTCGTTTTCGTGTCTAAAACATGTATCTTACATTGTTGGCAAAAAAAAAAAAAAATCCCTACCTTCCTACCCAACCCTACAAGGCAAGGTAGGCAACATTAAGCTAAGATTTTTTTTTTAATGGTGGCTTAGGATATACTACAATTTGATTCTATGCTAATACCACAATGAAATTATTTTCAAAACTATGTAACCTAGTAATGTTAATCTTCCTGATGATTGTTTGATTCTGCAGAGTGAGAACCACTAGGATCGACAGCTGTCTCACACTTTTAAAAAAATTGGTTAGAAAACATATTCTAATCTCATAAACATAAAGTTAATCTGTTGAGTGATAGGTGACAAAATATTTCTGTAGGCCAATTACA